CTGGTCATACGGGACACCCCCTCCAGACACTATCCGCATCGTACTGCCGGGGAATGTACTGGTCGGTGGGCCATCCGCCCGTTTCTCGAACAGCTGAACCTTACGGACAGGCTCCATTCGATGCACTCGCTTGTTGTTACAGAAGTACTCGACGTTCTCCGTGACAAACACTTTGATACGATGACATTGTACTTTCGCCAGTGGAGTCAGCTTGAAAGCGATAGGAACCTGAGCGCCGAGTGGGAAGGATTTGCCGGAGATGACGATGTCGTAGTGTAATTGGTCCTCCCAGCTGCGGCTGATCGCAATAGGCTCGACCTGCTCTAGTGACCCCTCTGATGGCGCGCGGATCAGGGTAACTTCCTTTGTTCCCATGAGGTTTGTGCGGAAGGCGCCAGCGCGTTCTACAGTCGCTTCCAGCTCGTACTTGACGGAACCAAGGTCGACATCGATGGTTTCGGGAAGGTGGCTATCCAAAGGCAGCTCAAAGTTGTACATGTACTCTCCGGGGTTAAAGGTCCTGTAACCCTTCTGTGCTACCGAGGGGCCGCCTCCAGGGGTGTCACCCTTACCGAAGCTTCGCGATTGGTTGACTTGTAGCGATAGTCTTTTGGCCTCTTTTGTCGTTAAATTCAGCGAAGAGTTGTTTGGCGATCCAGTCAATCCGTTAGAGCCCTTGTAGAGTTCCACGTGATCTGCACCAGTGCCGTTCTCGGCAGTGGGAAATTGAGAGTTAAAGAATGGCCATGTGTGGCTCATCAGAGTATCAACCTCTTCGAATTCAACCTTCTTTGGGGGAATGCCTAATTACTGTTAGTTTGAACGAGGAAAACGATAAACGAACGTACCTTCTGGCCACTTGGTCGTCGCTTTACCTCTGAACTTCAGCGTCACAGCCTTCAATTTCGCGGGTTTCGAAATCTTTAAGCATAGTGTTCCACGGAGCATAGCTGTACTTCGCTCCGCGTGCTCGGCTTGCTCGAAACCCCGTAAGAACAGAACCGGCTCTGTGAGTTGCACGTTCACACTGACGCCGCCACCTGATGCCACTGGCTTCTCTTCTGGAAGGCTCTTGACATTGGAGATAATGCTCTTTGCAGATGCACGACCGGAAGACCAATGTGACTCGGCGACTGATGGTCTCGGCATGCCTGCTGCAGCCAATGTGCCTCCAATTGCGCCTACTGCGCCGCTGCCAGAATTCCTCGTGAGCGACCGCATGTCGGCCGTGCGTGGTTCTGGAACAGAGGCAACCGAGTTGCGGTTGCTGCTAGTGGGAGTCGTCGACGATTGAGGGGTAGGTATGTCTGTAGTTTCGGGCTTGGAGGAAAAGTGGGTGTCGATAAACGACCGTAGGAAACGTTTAGCGCCGTCGCGTGGGGCCGCCAGCTTTTCTGTGAAGTACGACTGACTAGTCGTCTGGCGCCTCTGGCTGCGGAATAAAGTCGGATCAGGACCGACGTGTGCGATGTGAATGCGGTGCGGTCTGCGATTGCGGCCAGCAAAGATGCCGCGGTAGGTTTTCTTGGGGGTGTCTAAGTGGTCGGGTAGATATCGTAATCGGCCACGTTCAGAGTAGACGGTGTGGTACTCTGGCATAGCGACGATGCGTTAGTGACTTGAAGTGGAGGTGGAGGACAGGATCAAGGTGTGGTGACAAGGCATGCGGCGTGTTGTGTCTTATACGAGGTGTAATTCAGGAAGCAGAGAAGAATTTGGCTTGTGCAACACCTCAGAGTCATGAGAGGGGTACAAAGGCTTCTTGACCACGGTAACCCAAGCAGGTTCCATATGGATGCTTTGGGAAGGGACGTTGAGGTTGGGCGCTACTAGGACAAAGGGCCCGAACGCGGTGAAGGGGGAGATGAGACAAGGACTCACGAGCAGAGACAGGGTATCCAAAGGCGTGGGTGAGGCTACCTAGTTAATGATGTGTAAATGCGATCAGCACGACAGGCCACTGTAGGGTAGTGGAGCGGTGAAGTCGCCGGTGCGTCGGAAGCGTGCGGGAATACCCTGGAGCGAGGGTTTGCGCTGGCGACGGAGAGGAGTTTCTTGCCAGGACAACAACGGCGAATAACAGGAACTCGCGGGTGTTTTGAAGTGAGTTGCAGCTAGCCAGCGAGCAGGCATGTTACGAGGACGCGAGCATGTCAGACTAGGGCAGTGCAGGGACGGCGAAAGTGTACCGGCGTCGAGTGCGAGCGTCGAGTTTGCAGGGAACAGACGGATGACGCGGACGGTGGACGGTGTGCAGCGCTGCTGGTCGGCGGGGTCGCAGCAGCTAGGATGATGAATTTGAGATGGGCTGCTACTGCTCTAGCAGAGGTATATCAGTGGGTACCCGGATGGGGTAAGGAATGGTCGTGAGGGCGTGCAAGCAGCGCATCAGGGCAGGATATTCCCGCAGCGGGTATATGAGCGTGCTAGGCGTTACTAGGAGCGGCATGGCAGCGCAGCAGTAGCTTGCGCGGACGGAGGCTCGGATGCATTACATCATGCTGAGCACCAAGAGTCTGCAAGACTCGATGCAGGGGTCAGATCTCAATGGGCATCTGCTCAGGCTGCTTCTAGACCCGTTGGCGGCTAGCGACCGACTACGGCATACCCGGCACGTTACCTTGATCGACGACGACAAGGCATGCTTCATCCTGCCACTCAGCACGCACGGATAGCAAAGCCCCGACAGGCACTGATTACAGTATGTATGCGAGCACGCGCCCATGATAGCTGACAGGATATGGCATCGCTTAGACTCCAAGATGGCAGAGCCACACTGGGCATGGGCAACGCGCAATCTCGCGACAGACCAAGCGATGCTCCGCCAGCGCATGGGCGGAGAGTTCGTCTTCCTTGTTTTGGAACTATCGAACAGATGATAGATCATGCCCGGGCATCTTGTGCCATGGTGCATCAGAACAACCACATAAACAGGGCGTCACCTCCCACGATCGCCGAAAAGAAACCTGACGGCCCAATCGCGTAGTGATCAGCGCCTGGGGTTCTGAATCTGGAGTTACAGCAAACGTGAGTGGGCAGATCGGCGCAAAGAACAGGGCGGGCTGCCAACTCAGCCGCCCTCAAGTTCGAGGCCAGGAACGAAGCAGTCGTCATTCTGGCTGCGGTGGATCCTCGGCAGTGGGGTGGAAAGCTTTTTTTTTTCGTGGCATGTGCGAGATTCGGCGGCATCTGGGGGAGGGTTGAGGAGCGGACACGGCAGGGCGGGCAGTGCGGAAGGAATGGCGAGCGTGAGGCGGCACCACGTGACCACGCTGGCTTCCCCGCAACGCGTCTGGCGAAGGGCAGGGCTTAGCTCAGACGCGCTCCGCTCGGCGTAAGCACACGACACCGCGACTTTGCAAGTAATGGATGCGCATGATGGAGGCTATGGTAGGACATAGGGTATCATGATTATCATACACGTGCTCACATGATGCAGGAGCAGGCCAATTGCCCCTGGCTGGGGCCATCCTCTGTTGCACCTCTATTGCCCCCGAGCAGCGCGTACGTCTACTCCAGATGCTGATATCTCGCCGTCGCTAATGACCACATAGGCCAAACTCGCAGCTATTGGCGCGCAGATGGGCGCGACCATCAAGCTCGACCTCACATCAGACGTAACCCACCTCATCGTCGGCAGCACCGACAGCGCCAAATACCGCTATGTCGCCAAGTCTCGCGAGGACGTCAAGGTCCTCTCCCCGGAATGGCTCGAAGCCTTGAGGGAGGTGTGGATGACTGGCGATGACGACCTGGACATGGCCGCGCTGGAAAAGGAGTACCGCATGCCGACCCTCGCTGGGCTGAAGATATGCCTGACCGGCTTCGACAACCGTGCGTCGCAAGTTCCAAGTGCATACAGCCATACTGACCAATACAGCCGATCAACGCAAGACTATTCAGGAGTCGGTCGATGCCAACGGAGCCGAGTACCACGGCGACCTCACCAAGTCCGTCACCCACCTCATCGCAGCGGCGCCATCGGGCAAGAAGTACGAACACGCCCTGAATTGGAGGATGAAGATTGTGTCGCTGGAGTGGCTCGAACAAAGTCTGGAGAGGGGCATGGTGCTGGACGAAGCCCTCTACAACCCCACCATGCCTGTCGAAGAGCGCGGCCAAGGTGCTTGGGATCGCAAAATGCCCGCGTCGCCCGCCATAGGCAAGCGCACACGAGATGCAGAGCCGAGTCAGGCCCTGAATCCTTTCCGCAGGAAACTACGTCGCTCAGCAAGCACCAAGGTTGGCAGCCAAAGTGATGCCTTTTGGGCGGGCATCACAGCGCCCAGTTTCGAACGACCGATTGATGAGGACGAATGGACAGAGGAAATCGTTACTAAGCCAGATAGTACGCGGACAAGCACTCGCACACATACCCCAGCGTCCCCTCACAGACATGCATCCGTCCATGAGAATGATTCGCTTATCGAGGCGCACCTTGATGACAATGCAGACAGTCATGAACCATCATTGCCACCACATACGAACGATGTGTCCCAACATGATGGCATCTTTCAAGGACGGCTCGTATGCACGCATGGCTTTGACGCAGAGAAGGTTTGTCATACCATCTTACATTTCAGCCCTAGCTGACGTTCCCGCTAGACAAGCATTTTGCGCCAACACCTCGAGAGCAACGGCGCGCACGTAATCCATGCGACCGATCTCAACAATGCGCCATCCGACGATCTAAGACGAGGCTACTTCGTAATACCGCATGACGTCGAGGTCGATTCGGCGGCACTTCCGGGGCGTGCCGGAGAACACATGAACCTGGCCACCAATTGGTGGGTCGAGCGCTGCCTGTATGGCAAACGTCTAGTAGATCCATCAGACGATGTGTTAAGTCGACCATTCGAAAAGCTTAGTATCAGTGGTAAGCTCGTGCTCCACGGTTGTTTTATTGGTCGCTGACGTAGCCAGGGTTCTTTGGACTCACCATCAACTCTACGGGCTTTTCCGGCATCGAGTTACTGCATGTGACCAAAGTTGTCACGCTTATGGGTACGGGATCAGCTCCGCCGCCATTGAAATCGTCTGACAATTTTGACAGGTGCCTCGTACGATGAACAGCTATCGGCGAAGACCTCGGTTGTGATCTGCAACCCTCCTACCATAAACACACCGAAACTCAAATTCGCCACGGACAAACGGATACCCGCTGTTCATGCCACATGGCTTTGGGATTGTCTGCGTAGTGGTCGGCTACAGTCGTATGCCGAGTATCAATTGAACAAGCCAGCGCCGCCTCAGCCACAGAAGCCTAAACAGGGGCCTCAACCACAGGATGATGTGCCCACTGCACTGTTGTCCACGGAAGAGAGCCTTGAGCTTCGTCAGAAAAAGCAACAGCCTACCAATGCCGTGAAAACGTCTCTGCATCCACAGCAGCGTGGTACTCTTGCTCTCACTGCACCAGCAGATGCAACGCCTGCATCAACTACAGATGAGGCGGATACTTCCAACAATGATACTAACGGCCTAAATTACGATGACGATGAGTCTGTCATACCTGGATTGGATGGCGCAGGTTCCCACCCCCTCCAAGAAACCAGCGCCAACTCCCCGCGCCGCCCATCAACGTCCCCGCATGCTTCAAAATCGTACTCACGACCCAGGAGTTCATCGGCCGAGTCTCTTATAGCCCCGGCACCCCGCAAGTCCAAGGCTGGTCAGATCCCAGATCCGGTCGTTCCTGTTCCTGAACCCGACTCCGTGATCCCGGCGGATACCGAACCGGTACCACAGGAAGCACCAAAAGAAAAGGAATCAATAAAGGCAAAAGGACCGGAAGAAGAAAAGGATTACTCTTCAATCTTAGCTCAGATGCGCGCAAACCGCAAGACCGTGCCAACGTCCGTCGAGCAGGCACCTGGCAAGACGCGGAAACGGCGGCAGCTTGGTCGCGCAACGTCCACGCGGTCGAACGCGTCAGCGGGTGATAGCTCCGGGAACATTCTGGCTGGAGAAGAGGAAGAAGAGGAGAACACGGTGCTGGTGGAGGAATATCAGCCTAGCCAGGAGCTAGGTTGGGATTCTCCTGGTGCTGCGAAAGCGAGGGAGCAGATGATCAAGAAGCTGGGTGGGACTATGCAGGAGAAGAGCGTGGCAGTTGAAGGAATCGGCGTCGTAAAGGACGTTGGAGGGAATACTACGGGACGGGCGGGTAGGAAGAGGCGAGGGTGAAGAAGACCCTCATCCTGTATAGTCACGATGTAAGCGGTGTATGTGCAAGGAAGTTATCTTGGATTTGACTGCATGGGATGGCGCAAAGCATAGCGAGGTGTTCTTTGAAGTAACAATGGAGCATAGCGCAGGCGTTTGATAGTAATACCTTTTGTCAGTTGAATCTGATTCCATCATATCCCGTATGTCACCTTCAGTCGTCTCTCCAAATGCCCTTTGGCTGTTATCACTTCTTCTCCGAGCCCATCTTCTCTCAGTCCCAATCTCTTCCTCTGACTCTTCAACTCTTCCTCCCCCTTGTTACCAAACTGCTCAATCACGGGACTGGGTACGGCGTCCAACCTTGCTTCATCTAGCGGGTGGCAGAAGTATGCCATACTGTATCGTTCCTGCCCGCCCTCAAATGTAACCCGGTGGACTGTCGATTTCAGCATGCCATTTGTCCAATAACACAGTAAATCCCCAATGTTGACTAGGATTGGAGGCGATGACGATGGCGATGGGCTCACCGGCACTGCCTTCCACCCCGAAGGCGTAGACAGTTCAAGGCCGGGCTGGCCCGGAAGACGGAACAGGAGTGTTAGACTACCGTAGTCCGAGTGTGCACCTGCGCGGATACTGGTCTCCCCTTGCTTGGAGTCTTTTCCTTGGGAGATGGTGGATGGGTAGTAGAGCATGCGGAAGATGGTGCCGGACGGGCCAAGAGATTGGTCGTGTCGCGTGCTGAAGTACTTGGGGTCGGGAATTTGGAGGGCGGTGTTGAGGAGAGAGAGGATTTGGGTGCAGAGAGTGTGGCAGGAATGTTGGAAGCGGGTAATCAACTTGGAAGAGTCCTGGAGAGGTGATGGGAGGGGTTGGAGGGTTGGGTTTGGGGGTCCGATGTTGAAGGCTTCTTTTGGATCACCTTGCTATTATTCGTTTCGTCAACAGGTCGTCTCATCACTTGTTATGTTGATAATCACCTTTTGGCCTTCAGGATCCAGAGATTCGCCTTGCATCTGTACCCAGCCGCGGTTTATACCCCCTGCTTTCTCAGAGTGGATCGCGTATTCAGATTTCTGCTCCTTGGGAGCGGCGAAAAACTCTTTAGACTACTTTCATTAATCGTCATGTCCAGTTCCGCACAATCGATGCATCATACCAACTTGAACATGTCATCGATGTCTTGGGGCGGGATGGTCACACCATCGTTCTTAATGTAGAGGAAGCCATGTGTGGAAGCCGCGTCCAGCACTTGCCGAGCGACGTCTTCGAAGGGGCTTGAGATATCAATAACCGGTATGGCTTCCGAGTGGTGTCCTGAACTAGCCATTTGGAGAGAGAGTGAGATGTGACGCGTGAAAGCCTGGAGTAACGCTAGGTGAGGGGCAGAGGTGAGACGTGAGACGCGATTAGGCACTAAGAAAGCAACAGAGAAGCCACGTTCGAATTGGGGTGTTTTTACGGAAGCAGATCACCTCAATTCTGCGCCTACCCGTCATTCATCCCTCTACTCGGCGCGATTGCGTTCCCTCGTACGGCTAGACGCTGTACCTGAGCTAGCGCCCGGCTGATCAGGGATCGTGTGGTTGCCAAGGCGTGGAGCTGCATCGGAGCTTCCAATTTACTGTCCACACCCCCGCAACCCTCTACAACTTTACCACACGTCGTCGCTACATACAGTAATCACGCCAGGCGAATCTCTTAGTATTACTCGAGACTTTGCTGCCATCGTCTCCGTTCATTATCAATCCCTCATTCCCATTACGTTCAAACAGCCCCACCACGCGACTGGCACCATGATCCGCGACTTCGTACAATGGACGGCCACACTGGGCGAAACGGGCGAGCTCGAACAATTGCGCGGTTGCCGCGTAGGCATCGAAGCCGCCGAGTATCTGAACCAGCGCATCCTCAATCACCCGCGCGCAAAGGAGCCGCTTGTGCCTGCGCTGGGAGGCCTTCCGCTGGCCCTGACACAACACATTGAGGACGATCTCGCCCAATTCCGCAGCTTCGACATCGAACCCGTCTTCGTCTTCAGCGGGCTGGACATTACAAAACACGATGATCCTTTCAGGCAAAAGGAGACCGAGGCATCGGTAAACATCAATGCGTGGACTCTGTACGACAGTCACGAGGCGGAAGCCTCTGTCGCTAAGTTCGGACAGTCAAGTATGGCCGCCGTCAAGATGAGACTGTGTATCGTGCTGACTCTTCACAGCATACGTCACGCCCGAGGACCTCTTCCGCGCCCTACAGTCAACCCTGACCGAGCGCAACATTCGTTGGACAGTCGCGCCATACAGCGCCTGGGCCCAGGCAAGCATCTCTGGAATCTCTGTTCGCAGTGACTAATTATGGACAGTTGGCATATCTCGAGAAACACGAATACGTCCACGCCGTCTACGGCTCGTCAGATATCCTCATCTTCGAATGCTCCAAAATCATAACATCTTGGGACTTCGAGGCCCGACATTTCAGCTTCGTCCGCCGAGAGAAATGCGTAGCCGACCTCTCGAAGATTGTCGGCGCTCCCAACATCTCAGACGACATCTTTCTCGATACCTGCATACTCGCCGGCACGCCCTTCCTCCCGACCCACCCGATCCTCGACGCGCCTAACAGGGCAGAGCTGATCAAGCCGCACGGCGCCATCAAGGCCATCATGAACAACGGTCAGTCCGGATACTCTGTGGTTGTCAACAACAATGATGTCCCGCCCGCGGGCAAGGAATACGTCACGCGATACCAGAAAGCACGCCTGGCCGTCAAAAATCACCCAGTCTACACCGAGGAAGGGAAGGTCGAGCCTCGGAACTCTGGCTCGATGCCTAACGATGCAGGTCAGTATTTGGGTCAAAGGCTTCCAGACGAGATCCTCCACTACATGTCGAAAGGTCTCATCAGCCCGCACATCATCCAGTGGCGCACTACCTGCGAGGTATTCGAAGTCCCTCCCATGGATGGTGGCCTGTCTCCAGAATACAGGGACCTCGTCAGCTCTAAGCTGATCCCACTTCGAACACCCGCTGTCAACCTTTTGTCTAGCACCTTACATAATTGGTATCGGCACCAATCTCTGCACCAGACGCATTGGTACTCTCCTGTAGAGCCCAATGGGAAACGCACATCCACAACCATCCCTGTCGAGAAGCCATCAGAAGCCATAGCTCCTTCGCTCGTTGACACCTGGAACGTGAAGGAAGCTACATTTAAGGATGTTGTCGGGCAGTATAAGGTTAGCAAAGCGGCAACCGAATTGACAGATTATTGTTAACACTCAGACAGGACTGCGGAACTCTCGGTGCAGCCATCTTATCACTGCAAAACTCCGACTTCGTCACCAAATCGGTCGCTAAGAAAGATCCTAAGAATCCCCTTTCTTCCACTTCCGAGATACTGTACAACTCGATATGGCGCTTCCTCGCCCTACGGGAGTACATTGACCCCAAGAGCCATAACCTGACACAATGGGGTAAAGTCCTTGTCTCTGTCATCGCTGGCCTAAAGGGCAAGCCAGAGCACGAAGAATCTGCGGTGATCGCGGTCGAGCTGATACGGCTGGGCCTCTTGAACTCCGACATCGATATGTTCTCTATGTACAACGGCGCACCGATGCGTGGCAGCAGTAAGTGGGAAGCCCTTGACCAAGTCCTGCATAGCTGACAGCCGCCTAGCGAACGACAAGGAGTACAATATGCTAGTGTCTCGTGTTGCTGGCTTAGGTACTCTGCACCACCGACCGATTGGCTTCACCGGACCTCTCAGTCAACACTTGCTCGGTTACAACTCCATCATCAACAAAGTCCGCCAGTCACTTCGAGATATTATCGAGGTGGCCGCCACACAGATGTTCTGTACTGGCTGCTGCACTAGACATGCTGATATATCAGTCATCGCGATGAAGTTAGTCGTCCCGAATCACAGTAACCCAAGTCTGATAAACTGACGCTCCTTAGACTTCCATTCCTTCTCCCTAACAATTGTGCGCTTAGCATAGCAGCCAAGTCGTACCTCGATGAGCTTCTCACTGGCGATGCCGATCCGACCTCCCCGACAACCAAGTCACGTGTTATTCAAACCGCATCAGAACGCTACTTCCCGCAATCACTTAACCTCGCTGGCGATCTCAAGTCCGCATTCTCACTATGGGACGCCATATGTGCCGGTGTCAAGTCCGCGAATAACTCTACTGTGCCAGACGCGACAAAGCAGGTCTGGGCAGAGGCAGATAAGTGGCTCGCTGAACGACGGTAGAACCGCGAACTCCACCCAGAGCTGTGGCCGTCGGCAAAAGAGGCTTTTGAGTTCAGATACTGCCTCATAAGGGCTCAAGAGAAACGCCTTCACATCGCCAAAGGTAACCTTAGAGGTGTGGTGACAGGGTACTCCGCATACGAAGATAGACAGAAGGAGATGACAAGGGCGCGTTACCTGCTCAAAGGAGTTGAGAAGCTGGAATGTCGCTTTCAGGGGAAACAAGGAAGTCATTTCTACCATACTTGAGCTCTACTGTACTCTTCGAACCAAAGCTATACCCTAGGTACAGCGTCAAGTACGGAATGTTATCCTTTAGGCCCACGTTGTACACCGGGTACAGCGTACGATTGTAAGGCCCTCGCGAACGAATGAAACCGTGAAAAGCAAATTTTGTACAGTGGTGATCTAAGCAAGTAAATTTTCCCTGCTGCCTTTTCACTGAGTCTACCTATTCCCCCAGCCCATCGTCTGTATAAGCCAACGTCGCTTCCTGTTATATTCTCTATCACCAATCTTGCCCTATCCGCTGCCTAAGCTCCCAAGAACAAAGTTCCGATCATGTTATCCACCTTGGTGGTGAGCGCATCAATGGCAGTGTCTCTGTTCTCAACCTCAACACTGACGACCTTATGTGCCACGCCACGTGCCTGAACGATGATACTGACACACGCCTGACCGTTGAGGGCTTGAAGATTGCGACTCAAGACGTGGACATGATTCGCCTTGATCTCTTCGCCGTATTGAGCCTCCTTGTGGTGGATGATCGCAGCGAGGTTCCCTGATAGAATTGTTAGCTATGTGTAGTAAGAAATGTTTGCATCCAGGCAGGGAGAAGAGTAATCCAGGTGAGAGAAGGTCATGAAATACACTTACCGGCGAGAGTGAGGACCTTCCTTTCATGAACTCTGGCTTCAGTAGCGACGAAGTTGATGAAGTCGCCCCGGAACGGATGGAGGAGTTCGATGAGACGCTGCCTCACACTCGGAGCGACCGAAGTGTTGATAGTTGTCGCGGCTGGAGCAGGGAACTGAGGCGGATTGAAGACCGTGCGTTGGTTACCGCTGCCGCTGCCACCGCCACTGCCACTGCCGGTACCAAAGTAGTAAGGGCTATTGAAGATATCTTGGGAGGCGCTACCAGTTCTGGGTATAGAAGAGAAAGACATCTTAGATTTAGAATCGGAAGTGTGAGGTGTAGGAGTGTCGGCGGACTCGGTCACGAAGACATTTATTATGCTCATGAGTAAAGTGTTTGCGCCAAGCCAAGATGATCCACACTGGCGGTCTGTACGCGGTCACCTAGGAAGGCCTACGTAGACTGAATATTAGTAATTTCCGTCAGATTTGTTTGCTATCGGGCGCCATTTGCGCCGGCCACGTTATAAGCCATCAACCAATCGCAGTTCATCGTGACCAAGGCGCAAAGATAACGGGGAAGCCATGGACGCTGAGTGAACGGAACCGGGCGCTGGTATCAACATCAATCCCTGCGCTTTCTCATCAGTGGGAAAACCTGAAGTCCAACCTCTTCATCCCCTCATCCTTAGTATTGAAAACATAATCCTCTTGCTCTTCCTTGGTCATAGCTTTCCATTGCGCATCCCTCACGCGATTTCTCCAAATGTAAAACGCCTTCACAGCATAGAACAGGAAGACATTATACACACAGATACCAAGCAGTATCCTATTTCCCCTGCGATACAACGGCTGATCATCATCGCGATAAATATTAGTAGCAATGATATTGCCCGACTGGACAAACATGTTGTAGAAAGCCGCGGAGACGGCGCGCGTACGGACGGAATTCGAGTTCTTCGCGTTCCAACTCACGAGGATGGCGTGGCAGTACGGATAAGACAGCAGGCCTGTGAGAAGCGCATACCTGACCCAGGGATTTGCGTCTGCGGGCAGTACGACAAGAGCGACGAGCCAGGGGAAGATCCATATGTTCGATAGACTGGATATCATGGAGCGTTCTTTGAACTTCTCGGATAGCCAGGTCACGGCGAGGAGTTGGATGGCGTAGAGAAACTGGCTGGGTATGGCGAGCAGGTTGGCTTCAAAGACGGAGAAGCCGAGTTGGCGCAGAATGTAGGAGAGGTAGTTTTGCGGCGGGTTTGGTGGGACGTAGGCGGTCAGACCAATGATGTAGAGGGGCCATTGTTCCCAGTCGCACGCTGCTTTCCAGAGGATCGGGAGGCCGACTGCTTGCCGGTTGTTCATATCGCCTTTTGAGGGGTCGTCGCGGAGAACGCGGTTGACGAGAATGTACTCTTCGTGTGGTGTGAACCAGCCGTTTTTGCCGCGGAACCAGTGTTGCGTTTGGCAGGCGCCCGGGGGCATGAGGCCGAAGGAGAGGATGCCGATGGCTAGTGTCATGATGCCTTCGATTAAAAACCTGTTTGTGTTAGCAATGGTGCAAGTTGAACGACAGAGTATTGGAAGCTTACAGATACTGCCAGCCTCCCCAGCCATGAAGCCCTCGCATCTGCAATATACCTGCTGCAAGTAGCGAGCCGACAATATTGCAAGTACTCAGAGCGGTCCAGAACCACGCTAGCCGGTGTGGAAGTTCAGTGGATTTGTAAAAGTATGTCAACCAGAGGACGATGTCTGGGATGAAGCCGCCCATGAGTAGACCGAGGATGCACCTGATGGCGAAGTAGTGGGCTTTGGTCTTCATGGCACATTGTGAAGCACTGACAATGGACCATATGCAGATAATGGTTGGGATCCACCTGTCATAAGGTTAGTACTTGAAGCCTGAAGAGACGGTGAGTAGGCAAGATGGACTTACCGATCAGCACCCAGCTTCTTGCTAATCAAACCACTGGGAAGCTCGGCAAAAAGAAATGAGCCGAGAAAGATCTAGCTTTACGTCAACGAGAGCTTTGAGAGTAACGGACTGCCTAAAGCTTACAGTCTGACCATAGTTGAAGTCGTTCGTATTCATTCCTGCTCCAAGTCAATAATCTACCATCTTTTGTCCTTCACGCAGATGATACACACCTAGGTCTTTCAGCAAATTGTCTGAGATCGCTCGATTGATGTTCCTTCGATTCAGCTCCATCGATATGAACATGATCCATGCCCAGAGAGCTATACGCCAGTCCAGCTACACCGAGAGCGTCAGCCCTGATCAGTGCCATGACTTCATCTACTCACCTTCTTGACCAGACGTTTCTCTTCTTCCGCTTCCCATGTATACGTCGGGTCGAACCGATGACGTCCTTCGTACTCGGCATCGTCGTATATTTGACGCCAGCGCTGAGCCGTGGCCGGGTCGCTGAACGGATGGTCTTCGTGTGAGCCATGATGCGGCGGAGGTGACTTCGAGCTGTGTGACGACCTTGGGTCAGCGGTTTCGGTGATGGGGGCCTGCTTTTCTACTGGTGTAGATGCAGCCATATCTGCAAGGATAGATGAAAGCAAACTTCTTGTCGTGATTCGTTTTGATCTGGTTTAGCCCAATCGGTCGGTACTGATTAACGAATGTACCGAGGGAGTGTTATAAGGGACCGGATATGTCTATGATTAGGAACTGAATCGACAGATGATGCAACTCCGGGTACATGTCACAACATGCGCTAAAATGAAGAACCTTACCGTCTAGACAAGGCTCTGAAAGCCGAGAGACTTTGTTACGAAAGCCACAGATAAGGAATGACGTTTATACGACAGAAACTCGATACCAATGATTGTATGTGAGGAGCTTCGCTGACAATGCATACATATCCAGCCAGAGATATGCTGATAGGCCATTTGACGATACACTTGAACGCCGTCATTACCCTGCGATCCGAGTCGAGGAATTGCCTTCCGCGGCCACATGTAGATCCCAATTGGGCGTAGGAAGCAGACAGTGCAGCTACAAATCGACCGCATGCGAAAGGTCAGTCGCACGATAACCTATATCCAACTATGGTCTTAGATCAGTCGGAGTCTCTGAACATCGACACAACAGTCGTTCATCGGAAGGATACGACATGCATGCTGGCAGATTCGTTCCGAAAAGCCTACCCTTGGATCCGTGACTTCGCATGAACACAGTCGGAGTACCTCGATTGTCATCTGCAAGGATCGATATCAGTTTTTTGAGAAAAGGATCCGTCTTTGATCGTCGGTGCATCGTAGCGAGGCATGTTGCGAAATTGGCGAAGATGTCGTCAGACACTGCCAGTATAGCCCATGCGAAATATGCACTTGGCAGTCTGGTAATCTTGGCAGTATGCCGATGTCTTTATCGAGACGGTTGAAGGTTGCCGTGCACATGCAAGCGTGTTGTTGTGAATGATGCAGCTCGAAAGAGCAAGGGGCTGGGAAGTCGCGGTCGCGTCGCGTTCGGTCCAAACTAATCAAGGACTAGTGTTCTCACTCCACACTACATGTAAGAAGGCAGGAACGACAAAGCGTCTCAGTGACATGACATTGTTATATCCGCCGTTGAATGCCCAGGTGTGCGCAACAGCATGTGACGCGTTATTTCCGGATCTATATCATTGCCAGCCATGAATGAAACGCTGCCGAGCAGCACGCCATCTCGCCCCCACATGTCGTAGCATCAACCCCGCAACACCTCGTCGCTATCGCGCATCATGGAGGATTGTGGTTGCAGGAAGCGACTACCGCCGCTATCAGGAGTGTGCCGAGAAGGATTGCACCATACTATCCATGCCATGATGCCACGATGCCAATGCACAAGCCGAAGAGTTACTGTTCATCATTTCTCGATGCAAATGTGCCTGAGTTAAGTTGGTGTGGCGAACAAGAGTAGGAGATAAGTGTGGTATCGCTCTGTCGGAATGCGGAATACCCTGTAGCAGTGCAAATCAGCATCGTTGATCATGGCTACGAACACCTTGACCACCACTACTATTGAGGACATAGGCATCAAGACGCAGCCTGTATATCCTCACGAGCCTCTAAAGACCAAAGGCGTTCTGGATGCCTTCGAGTCTTTTGACGTTACGCCAGTCATCGGCCGCGAATTTGTGGATGTAAGTCTGAAGGAATGGTTGCGTGCGCCAAACTCCGACGATTTGATACGCGATCTGGCAATCACAAGTAAGCCACACTCAATGTTTTCGCAAAGACTGAACACTAACATTTCGGAAAGTTTCCCAGCGAGGTGTCGTCTACTTCCGCAAGCAGGACGATTTGGATGATGAACTCCAGAAAGAGCTGGCCCAGCGCCTCGGCGAGCTTTCTGGCAAACCAGAAACATCTAAGCTGCATATCCATCCTGTGAGAAACGCAGGAAACCGTCTTGGAGGTAACGACAACGAGATCAGTGTCATTAGCTCGGATTTGGCGAAGCAACTCTTCAAGGAGCGGTCACAGACTGGCAAGCATGGTTGGCACAGCGATATCACTTTCGAGCCGGTACCAAGCGACTATGCAATCCTTAGAATGACGCAGCTACCAAAGTCAGGTGGAGGTGAGTGTGAGAAGTAACCATACCCCCGTTGACTAGACTAAGATTACTCAGATACTCTATGGGCATCAGGGTACGACCTTTACGACCGCCTCTCGAAACCGTATCAGAAGTTCTTCGAATCTCTCACAGCAACATACGCCCAACCAGACTTCAACCGCGCGGCCAAAGAAAACAACTTTCCCGTTTACACTGCTGCGCGGGGCGCACCGGAGAATACTGGCGACTCTCTGACCGCTGTCCACCCCTGCATCCGCACGAATCCCGTCACAGGATGGAAATCACTCTACAGCGTTGGCCACCACGTTCAGCGTATCAATGAGCTGAGTTCGGAGGAATCGGAGCGCACTAAAGCCTGGTTCCTACAGCTCATCACTGAGAACCACGATCTGCAGATTAGACATAGATGGCAGAACCCAAATGACGTGGCCATATGGGATAACAGAAGCGTACTTCATACAGCGACCTACGATACCGATGGCCAAGGACCGCGGAAGGGGTATAGAGTGGTCAGCTTGGGTGAGAGACCATATCTGGATCCACAAAGTACGAGTAGGATGGAAGCGTTGAGGCTCGCGGAGGGACAGTAGTGTGTGATACGTGCAGGTCTAGAACACTTAAATGTTGTATTTGGTCAAAAGGCATGAGTCGAGGTATAACTAAACCAATGAGAAGTTGGGTGAAGAAGTCTACGAGATAGCCTCGTAGGCTGCTACGATCACGTGCACATGCATGTCAGCTTCTGCCTACACTATCGAACGGCCCTACAACTCAAGATACGCTATCGATCTAGTGTCGCCATCGTTTTTCTCATATTCGTTCACGTGATATCACCTGACTCTTGCTGCCTTCCCACTAAACCTGTCTATCTTCTGAACCCATTGTCTACATAAGCTCGCATCGCTTCCATTTTATTCTCCATACTTACCAGTCAGGGTCGGCGAGCACACACATTCGCATAGACCGGCTTAGGTCAGCTGCATGGCACCATTGCGGGACTGGTCTTGTCTGATGGCTCTTTGTGGGCGGTCTCTGGCATAATTTTTGATTGCTTTTTCATTTGTCCTTCACACTGTGGTGAGAGGACTGAGGAAGGAGCGGTATAGACGTGGAGGAATGGTGGAGTAAGGGGGTGGTGTATGGTGTCTTCGATGGACTGAGAGAAGTCGGTAATGGAAGAGCGGCTAGCTACATAAGCACCGGTGCCTAATTTAAAGAAAAAAACTGAACAGGTTTGTAGCCTACATTGAGATGGAAACATGCAGATGAATCAGCCTAATGTCAATGTAGGCTCCAGGGTACTCAGTTGAATGAGGTACCCGTTTGTTATCATGGTGTAAGTCAACCTAGCCTGAATTCTTTCGTTTCTGGTTGCAGTGCGTCCCAATATTCTCTCCATACCACACCTAATCCTCGTCTTTCAACGACATCTCCGACCCATTCGATCCACATGACGTTGTAGAAGTATGAGTTTCGCCAATCTCCCTCGATCATCGACATACGACGTTTACTATCTCTCTGGAAGGACATTACTGGCCAACCATGCTTCGCCACATTGTGTGGTAGTGAAGTTTGAGCTTTTGAGATTGCGATGAGCTTACAGACACTGCCCTGTAGATGCCTGCTCTCCTTGATGTCGCACATCATGGCGATATTGCCAACCGTCTCCACGCCGTCGCTTAGAGTCATGATCTCGCGGCGCGCCTCATTGCAGGGTATCATGTGCCCAAAAATTAGCTCTGCGCATGGGGCGAGGCAGCGAAGAATCGGGTGAGATGGAATATGTAATTGCCGCTCAGTTAGATCTATGGTCGGAAGTGGGAACGGATATCTTTTGCTTTGCGGAGTGTCCGTGTTGGTGAAGTAGTCACCGTGTGGATGGCCATGCCGCTGCCATCCCACGGGAAGTAATCCATCGGGCTTTTGTCGGAGAGCTTGGTCTTGATAAAAGCCATTAAACTTCTCCTGAGCGCCGTCTAGGGAGGTTTCCACCTGATATTCGGCCACAGGTGCCAGGGTCGCAATGGAGACCCAGTCCGATGCATGTCCTTCGTCGCGGAATATGGCGGCATAGAAGGGGTACCAAGCAGATAGACAGTCTATGGCTCCGTGTTTCCACCCAGTCCACGACCAGCTCGGTTCACCCTCACGTCTTCTGAGGTTATGCTTGGGTAGCCAAAGCAAGGCGATGTCGAAAAAGAATCGTGGCATGCCGTGAAGTAGACCGTCTGGGAAGGTAGAATCCATGACTTCAGTAGCGCCTGCAAATGCTGCTTTGGCATCCTTTTCGGAGGTTAGATTCCGCGAAGAAAAGTTTTCTACGAGCATTCCCCATCGACCGAGAGATGGTATCGTAGGTATCAAAGACATCATGCCCATTGGGACCCCGAGGTGCGGGCGTTCTGTTGGCCATATACTGTTCGATGTTCGTAATTCCGCGGTAGTTTCGGGATAATGGATGTCTTCCGTAGACACGAATTCGTCGACGCCCTCTCGCCACTGACAGCGTCCGCATATCCAAGACACAGTATCTCTGAATATGAGGAGACGACGTGAGAACAAAGATTCCTGAAACGTCCAGCCCCTGGTTGCCCATTTCGAATCTCCTGGATATGCTGACCGCAGGCGAAGGAACGAGCTAGGATTAGGAGTTCGATTCGTCGAAGGACCCCCAATACCCCTCAAACCGTGTCCTGCATGGTCTCCATCGGCCGCAACGATAGTAAGATCAGCGCTTGCGTATATACGAGCCATAGCCCGCAATGTGGCGTCCATCTCTTTCGAACTTGCATCTTGGACAATGCACAGGCAATCCACCCACAGATACTGCTCGCCTAGAGCCCTGACAAGATGAATGGCATCCCGAACTGTGTCAGGAAGCACTATATTGTTGCGTGTCTCGTATAACGCTCCTATCTTCAACAAAACCTCGATGTTGGTCGTTGTGGTCTTGAACATAGGCGCATTGCCCCACACATACGAAAGGGCGACATACTTGATTGGCGACGAAGTGGGTAGAATAGTAAGCGAGCCACTAATCACGTCGACCAGCATGAGCTGATCGATGTTCTTTGCCAAGGCGTTGGAGTAGTCGTCGTTGCAGCAAGCGCCGTGAGTTGCACGACAAGCTTGACGCCAACGTTGAATGTGCTGAAGATCGACGGTAGGTGTGATTGGGATAGAAGATCTTTCGGCACGACGAGGATCAATGTTGAGGAGCCCCGATGATAATTGCGGGATACGAGCTGGCGGTGGGGTTGACCGATCGCCGGTCAACGACTGTTCACCGCGACCAAGACCGGATGACATTCGGGAGGCAATAAAGATTCGAAGGACACAGAAAACTATACTTTCGTAGTCTTTCGTGATGGCGTAGTTAGGGCAAGATTGAGTTCTGAGCTCTCAATGTCAAACAGAAGCGGGGTTTGTGACGTGGACAATTTGCGGCTGAACAGTATTCAGCTGCCTTACGTGAGAACGCACATGGGAATATTGATGATTCGCTGTCATAACTCAGACCTTGAGTTGGTCGGAGAACATTGACGCATTCTGAATATCCCGCTTTGTTGGCCACTGGTATGCGTGTATAAATACCCAGTCGTAAGCAGTAGCAGATACGGCTCGTACCGTATGATGCAAGACGTACAGTAGTACTTGCTATGCGGCAGAGCAATTTTAAGACTCTCACGTGGGTGCCGCAAATGAATGTGTCTTTAATCCGCTGCCTCAAGCAGAGGAGGCCCAGTTCTTGAGAAAGCCGGGTGCCGACAATGGAATTTGGATTGCCTATATTGTCCGCCAGCGGCATGCGTGCCGAAGACCTCGTTCTCAAGTAACGGTATTTGCGACCTGAACCGTGCAGCGGAGAGTATACTTGCTACGACTCTAGAAGAACTCGAGCCCGTTCCACCAGACGTATCCAAGTACAGCCGCCACGCTTGTGACCGCAAACGGCAGACTCATCTCCACGACGCTCCAGATCCAGAGCGTACCAACTGGAGGAGCTGACTTCATGACGTAGAAGTAGCCATGCTTGTTGCCCGAGTATATCAGATAGCACCCCGCCACGACAGAGCCTCCAAAGAATGTAGCGTCCCTAAGTATGGGGAATCGGTACGAAAAGTCGACGTGGGTGAGGTAGACCGCTAGGATGAATATGGGCCACGCTGTAAAAGCTCGCCACAGGATCTCGTTCCAGAGTATGTCCTCCCGGTATTGGCTGTATACGAGGACGTCGAGGGTGAGGTGGAGGACTGCCATGGAGATGGAGTAGAGGATGGAGTCCCCGAGGGGTCCGATCGGAGGAACATCGTCGGACGATGCAGGTGTATTCGCTACTGGTACTTTGACGACTCGTGTTTTACCGTTCATCTTGTCTAGCTCTCGCTGTCTCTCTTCCGCCAAGTCAAAAAGTGTCTTGCCCGTTGGCTTGGAGAAGTCGGGATGCTTCAGAATCATCTCGACGCCATCTTCATCGATCTCGTTGGTGGGCTGGAAGCCGCTTCCTTTGCCATTGGCGCTTGCCTTGGACTCCTTGGCGCGTCGCTCTTTCCTGTTGCCGGAAGACATGGTGATGTGTGTGTATCTGGGGAGTGTGGTGGGAGGGTTGGGACACGTCGCGTGCGGCTCTAAGGAATCTCGAAGATGACGTGGGTCAAAGCTCGTTCCAGAACCTCGATGGCTTCATGCGCACGCGCTACCTCTCCTGACGCAGGTACATAGCAGCAATACAGTAGCAAACACCAAATCGAACATACTCCTTATATGCGCTTGCTGACCATGAATTGGACTGTGTGGGCATCGGTGCCTGTCCTCATCTTTGTTTTCTGGATGTACACCAGCACCCTCGGCGCGTCTTTCCCCACATTACAAAACAAACGCATCCTACTGCTGATCGCGCATCCTGACGATGAGGCCATGTTCTTTGCGCCGACTTTACTGGCATTGACGCGTCCGGAACGCGGAAATCACGTCAAGATATTGTGCCTCAGTAGCGGTATGGCCCTCACAGCTCCCCAGTGCTCTCAGAGGCAATCACTCATCTCATTCGTGCAACAGGCGATGCCGATGGTCTTGGCGAAATCCGCAAGAAGGAGTTGGTCAAGAGTGGGCTGCAGCTGGGAATCGGAAGCAAGGACGACATTCTCGTGGTGGAAGACAAGTACGCATCAACATGCACGTCCGACTGCAACATACTGACTATGGACCAGGAACTTCCCCGATTCCATGACAGTAACATGGCACCCTCGTTTAATCTCCAACCTACTCACCACCGCCTTCGCCCCAAACATGACCTCAATCTCTTCCAAGGAGGCACCGCAGGCGACCGTCGACACCATAATCACCTTTGACGCACACGGCGTCTCCGGCCATCCCAATCACAAGTCGCTCCACGACGGAGCGCATACCTTCTTGAAGGCGCTCATGCACCGACACAGCGGGTGGGAGTGCCCTGTCAAGCTGTACACCCTCACCACCACCTCCATATTCCGTAAATATCTTAGCTTGTTGGACGCACCAGCTACAATTATTGGCGCAATTCTCCGCAAGAAAGAGCTCGGAGGCTTTCCGACTCCACTCCTGTTCGTCAGCTCACCGGTCGGTTACAGGACTGCCCAGAAAGCCATGACCACGGCACACGAAAGTCAGATGCGCTGGTTTCGTTGGGGCTGGATCTCACTGTCGCGCTACATGGTTCTCAACGATTTGAAGAAGGAATAGTCGCAGTGGTGTCGGGAGGCGCACCGGGAATCTATTGTAGCCAACGAGACCTTCTAGTCTGAACTCTAGTAGGCCGGCCCATGCTGAGGCGATAATGTGCTACGTATGCGGTGTGGCTGACAAACGGGAAAGAACACCCCATTGCAATTTCCGGACCCTGAAGTCGTGTAACATACCAAGGGAGGCAACTGGCGGAACACGGCAACACTGCCGCGGACAATGGGCTCCACCATTGGTCGTGCCTGAGGAACCTAGGGATGCGCGGGCTTGGAGGTCCGTGTGACTTTGGCATTACACAAGAGGCGTATATTGTATTTTGCTCACAGCCTGCTCACTCTTGCAATCCTCATGACCTAGGAGTGAATTGCACGTCCTCTCGACAAAAAGCAGAGTCTGCGACTTGCTTTCACCCTTCGCGTTCTGCATACTTCGCGCAACAGGCAGCAAAGGGCGCCGGGGAAGAGGTCCGCAACCACTTGGAAAGCATCAATCGTAAGCTGGACGCCGATCTTCACATAACACCAACTGACGCGCTGGTCTTAGACGAAGCGACTTCGAGAGCCCGTTCGACGCGCACAGCGTGTGCACACCATGTCTTCTCCACCCCTCCTTCGCCTGCCCGTTGAGCTTCATCTGGAAATAATCAGTCTTCTCGACCTCAGCAACAAAGCCAACTTGGCTTTCACAACTCGCCATTTCAGATCAATCATACCCCCACCGACGCATGCCGAGTTTTTGGCCGCCGAAGGAACTCCTTGGGCCAAGACCAAACAACTCTATACTTGCAAAGGCTGCATCCGCTTCCACCACTGGAAAGCCTTTGCCGACGATATGAGAAAAGGCAAATGGTGTCGCAGTGGTATTTTGGCCCACACAAGATTTTGTCTCAAATGCGGGGTAAGCGATGCGCTGTACGTCCCAGGAACGCTACTCACAATCTGCAATCGAGTTCACGTGCTTTGCATATGCGGAGTTCTTACAGATCAAGTTGGCGACCGTCGTGGTAGGTGCGCTGGTTGTTCCCCAGGCCCGTCACGCAACTACAACTGTGACTACTTCAACAACGACGATGACGATGGCTGGAGGCAAGAACGCGCATCTGATCGAAACCACTTACGAGAGATGTACGACTGGCCTGAAGAGGGACGCCTCTCAAGGTACTAAGACCGAGAGTGTTGTCAACGACTGTGGGTAGGCAGTATGTCGTTGGCCGCAGCCGGTAGCAATGATAACCTCGCGCACAAAGCTGGAGCATTTCACGGCCACGATCTCTTCGGGTATGAGACTACGACATCTTGTATAGACTACGGTTGCTGGTATTCCAGCGTTGTCCTCCTGTTCACGTTTGCCGCTGTGTTCACCAATAGACCGTTCGCAGACGTTCCTCCTTCCACCACGTCATGGCTGCTGTCAATATTCACAAATGCTCTACCATTCATAAGGTGCCCAACTTATGGTCCAGATTAGGGCTTTCACAGTCTACCGATCTCTGACGTTCGAGCCATTTGGAAGTAACGAAAGCTCTCAAATCACACCTTCGCTTGCTCTTAACCTGCGCTTCGCTATTCAGATCTCCCATAACCATAGCCTCAATCTACAGAAAATGCCGAACCCAGCGAAGCCCACCTCTGAACCAGACTCACCGATAGTCCCACCCGAGCGGCCAAGGACCCTCAAGCGACGCATTTCTTCCAGCTTCAATACTATATTGGCAGCCCTTCCCATACGGAGATCAAGCCCGCATATCAGTTCAAGTCTACGATCATGCACGGAACTCGGAGAAGAGGCCATAATACAACAAGGCGTTGCTGGCGCTAACCAGCAGGCTCCTCAACCCCCTCCAGTCATTCGACTACAGGTACCATCGCTGTCCGAAACCAGCCAGCCCTGTCCTTATGATGCGAGTGAATACCATTCCTTCCCTAGCGTGGAACGCCGACGCTGCGATTTCTGTGGCATGCGGCCACCGAAGTCACCCTCTGGCGAACCATGCAATGAATGTCAGTCCCAAAGCGCACTTTCCCACATGAAATCAGCTTTCACATGGAAGCCAGGTCGTAAGATCAATGAGGAACCAGCAGTTCAGAGCTCTCGTCCACAGCACAGTCCTTCATCCGAAGAATGTCCGCGTTTAGTCCCTCCCGAAATCGCGGCGAAAAGGATAGGCAACCCACCACGGAGAGCAGCACTGCCTGTGCCGCGACCTGGTGCTGTCAATCCAGCGCTGCGGCAGAGAAGTGCTACCAGGAGTGAAGACGTTCCCCCGCGATCGAAAAGCGCTCTGGAGTATAACGAAGTGAGGCCAATCAGTCCCAAACTACATTATCATCGTTACTTACGCAACTCAAAGGACTACCCTTACGTTCGGGAAAGTGAAGTATCGCAGCACTTAGATGCCATACGTGCCGGAGCCCCAAGCCCGCTAATCGATTTCGCCCGCGCTGCTCGTCGCAAGAAAACTTCGGATCCGACTACAGATTTCTCCGAGACGGTCTTCTATGGCCAGAAATTTTCAGCCGCCTTCACTAACAGTGCAGAGCAGCGCCAGTCGTCGCAGCCGTCGCGTAGCAATCTGGTCGTTGAGGGCTATCTCGAAACCGGTGGACATGTTATTGTTGAACGACCGCGCCCCGAGCAGCAAGCCAGCATCGATGCACAACTGTACCATAGTAATGTCTATCCTAGACGCTCCCCAGAGCAATCAGGGCGGAAATCGCGGGCGTCGAGACGGTCAGCTGATAGTCGCCGTCGCATGAGACATAGAGACTCTGAAGATGACTTTAAGACAAACGACCAGCTACCGGATTTTCAAGAGGGTCCTGCTTACGATGGAATGCCAAGATTGCGAGGTGGTAGTGGAGGCGACGAAAACATTCATACTCGTAGCTGTGGTTTGACGATGAAGCAACTGCTACTTACTTGTCACAGGCCTGGTCATGGTGATGACACCGACTCGGGTAGCGACGAACACTTGCCACCAGCGAGGACTCCCAACATCGCCGAAGTTGCACGCGCGTTGAGGAGGGCACACGGTACATCTCGCCTTCCGAAAGGTATCTCGAGACGCGATGGAAGTCAAGAGACACCACGAACAGGCAGATCTGCAACTAGCGGCGGAGACGTTACCAACCTACCAACCTCGCGCACAGCAAGTTTTGCCGCTACGTACCCGCAGCCACGCTCGATCTTCTCATATCTACCACTGTTCGGTCTCGCCTCGATATTTGCTCGCCTCACAGGCCCTTCTATCGATTCTTCCGCCGTCTCCGCGAGTCACACCATACAGCCCGTCACACTTCCTCCAATCGTCAGCCTTAGAGGCGGCTCCGGCTCACCTTCCGCTCTACGAGATCATCAGCGCGTTCCGTCTACGCTCTTCTGGCTCGCAGGTGGGAAGGGTAAACCGATCACCGCTGCTAGCTGGAAGAGTCAGAAGCCCAGGAGAAGAATGGGCGGAGTGTTTGGAATGGCTCTCCACGGGTTAGATGCCGGCACCGAGTATGGACCAAGGAAAAGTACGGGATCTAGCAGTAGCAGTTCTGAACTTCCACGACATGTGGCAGTCACAGTCGCAGTTGCAGCCGAAGAGAGCAAGCTTGTCACGAAAGAAAAGGCAGAGAGCGTGAAGTCAGGCAGGTCTCACTCTTCTAAGTCATCATCCTCATCAAAGGGTAGCACAAAAAGCCACAGCAGTCATTCCTCGACTTCCCATAGATCCGCTGCCGCAGGTGGCGAGGCACAGAGAGAGCTGCCCTTAGACTCGGTGCCGGAAGAAGCTGCTGCTGCACCAACCGCAGATCTTCCTCCAGCTGAACCTGCAGCCGCAGAGGGTCCACCGATAGTAGTACCAGAGAAAGAAGCTCCTCCCGCCGATGATGCGCAACGAGAGCATGTGGACGATGGTGATCAGGGTGCTGCACCCGTTCCCAATGCGAATGAGAATGAGAACGAGCACGTGGGGCAAGCGGCAGCAGAAGCAGAGGAAGGGGCTCATAAGTGAACGAAGGAGTGCTAAAGACATGAGGAGATAAGGAGATGTGTACCGTACCGCAGTGTTACCGTGCTAATGTCGAACTTTCTTCACGCTTGCGGAACTACTTCCGACTGTACTCATGCTTTTCAATGCTATCCAAAACACCCGCACCTAATCTTCAAACCTCTATATCGTACAAAGTATCTCCCCTACCATCTAACTCATCAGCCCATGAACCTGCTCTCCACTCAAAGTAGCCTTGGCAGCAGGTCTCTTCCCAGCCGCTTTCTTAGACGTAGGCGCACTCGTCCTCCTTCCACCTGCCGAAGGCCTACTAGCACCCGTACTTCCACTACCCCTCTGCGCCTCAACAGCAGCCTCATGTTCAATCTTACTAACCGCCCTCGTAATCGCCATACTATATCCACCAATCCACTCACTCCAACTCTGTTTACCATCGCTGTTATCCACGGCAACTTCCATCGTCGAGCTCATGCTTCTTTTTGGCTTCGGTGTTGTTGCAGAGGAAGATTTCGAAGCGGGGACTTTGGTAGTTCTGCTGCTAGACTGTTGTTGTGGTGCAGAGGCGCTGTTCTCGGTAGCCCGTACAGCAGCGGCGGCGCGTCGTTGCTCCAGGAAAGACCGCGCTACATTCTGGGCGGCGGAGACGCCTGATTTTATCGTCTTGACGTCTTCCAGGTTGACGTTGGCGGGGATGGGGATGCGGTAGCTTCCGGATAGGGTGACTTGTCTGTCTGTACCTGCACTTGCCCTTGGTGCGTCCCTGTCGATCTCCTCGACGTGTTCTGTTCCGCCTCTTTTTGCTCCTTGACTGCGAGGATTGAAGTGCTCCAGATCCTGTCGTGCCACCTCCAACTCGCCCTCGAGACGCACGAGTTCTTCATCTGCTTCCTCCTCTTCGTCGTCGGCGATTTCCTGGACCCGGGAATCGCTTTCATTGGCTGTAGTACTAAGTGTGGGGACCTGCGCTGTAGACGAGGCTTTTCGTCCTTTTCCTCGTCGGCGAGGGGAGCGGCCAGGTCGTGAGTCGGGAATCGCACCGGCTTTGTAGAGCTCTTCTACCTTGGCTTCCAAGCCTCTGACACGAGACTTGAGCGCTTCGAGTTCGGAGGGCGATGGTACATCTGCCGTTGTTTTACTTGCAGTACTAGGCTTTGCTGCATCTGTAGATGTTGATGTGGGCTCCTTGTTCAGCTTCCTGGGTTTCTTTTTCGGTGTCTTCGCTGCCGGTGCGGTAACGTCATCGGTGCTTGGTGCTGCTGCTGGCTTCTTTGCTGATGATGGTGAAGCCTTTGTAGCGGGCTCTTTTGGCAGGACGACTCCGCCTGCGGACCCTGCTCTTCCCTGTTCAGTCTGGCTTGGGGTAGCGGCCTTCCTGGATCGTGCCTGCTTGGCTGGCGTTGCAGGTGTCGCATTGGGTCCCGGTGATGATGGCTTCGACGCCATTGTGTGAAGATGTCCCCTCTATTCGAGCCCAGAAATGACATGTGCCAAATCCCTAACAACGCGCGTCGTGTCTATGGTACGCTTCCGCTTAGCTTGTATGATGACGAATTGGGGCAACAGCCATGGACGTGTCGATTTCCTAGCTCAACTAATTGGAATGAAACACTATATGCATCGCAAGACACGAAAAGGAAAGTGATAGCGTAGGCGATCGCCGCCAAAGCAAGATATCGAAGTTGGACACAGGCCGAGCACATCTGACGTATGGTGGCGCACGTACCGGGATCCTGCGTCGTGAACCCTGTTCGCGGCACGTCAACGGCGATCGACTAGACGTTAGCATCGCTGCACCACATGCAAGGGAAAAGACCAGACATTTTTAGCGGTTTTCTTCCTCCTAGCCTGCTACAACGGGCTCAATCGAAACAGTATGCTACTACATGAACAGCCCAGAGGACTACATCACCCTGGAGTCCATCAGGTCTTCGGCATCGTGTGTTGCTGTAGACTGCAGCATCATGTAACAGAATATCTACTGACAAAGACCAAGAATTCGCAGCCATCAGGCAAGTCTCCAAACGGCCACTTTATACCGTCCTCCTTAATGACATTCAGCGCAGCCAGGGGCTCAGCGTGATCAACCCAGAATGCAGTGTCAGCGCAGCAAACAGCACCTGTCTGATCGCCCTGGACAAACAAGGAGCCCGTAGGTCTAGCCATTTTGACGTAAGGAACTGGCGAGGACTTCATAATGGCGGGTACGAGGTCTTTGATCCCACTCAAATCCACCTTTTCGATCCCATGTCCGAAGGCTCTGAGAGCAGCACGGATAGTAGCGGGATGAGAAGAGAGAATTCCGAAACTGTGGTCGTGTTTGTTTTCGCGCAAATGAGACAAGATCTGCAAGGTTTAGTGAATGCTGGTGAAGGGTCAAAAGTTCGTGTGAAGACAAACCTTTGTAGCCAGCCCGTTGCGCCTGAAATCCCGACCGACACATAGTTGAGTGATCCAGCCGATTCTGCGGCCCTCAAAGTCCCAGAAAGTTGCAAAGGCATTTCCTACAAGCTTGCCGTCGACCGTAGCGCGCACCAGAACGCTGTCAGTCCCCGGGGCAAGGGACTGCTCACGAAGCCGACTTTTGGACATCTTCACGCGGCGTCCTACACAAACATTAGCATTGTCTTCATCAGCAAGAGTAAATACTGTACCTACCCGGCTTGCAGAATTTACCAAATGTGCCCATTTTCTCTTCAGCAAGAGGACCCCAGATTCCATAGTCAGAGGAAAAGAGCTCAGCGGCTTGAGCGAGCATGTCTTCAGAGACATCATAGCCTTGATACTTCTCCATGACAATAGTGCCAGACATAGTGTGAATGATGTTTTGTTTTCCAACTTTAAATATTGTAGTTATGGCAGGGAAAGATGACGACCAAAGAACAGATTTCATAGCCCCAAAGCGAACCGTGGTCTACATGCTTGAACCCTTGACAACGACCCACCCCTGTCAGACCCTCATACGAACTCCACATACACATCACAGTAATGGATCGCATTATCACAAACGTGCGTCAAACATTGGAGTGTAGATACTTTCGAAATTCTTGTTGCAGCTAAATACATGCCAGTGCATACCATCCCTCTAGTTCCCTAACACAGATCCATCAAAGAGAGAGCTTGGCTGGGCCACAACAACAGACATACTGACGGCGAGAGGAGATGATCGAAAATATGGCATATCCTTTATTTACCGGATGTGGAAGGTCTAGGAGGGCGACCAATACTTTTTGGAAACGAGCAGCGCCAAGGAACGGCATCGTAAGGGGCATGCAGAAAGAAGCTCATAAAACGTCCCAAGTCCAGCCACGGACGCCTTGCAAATCGCGCTCGGATGAACAGGGCTGTCGAAAGGACGATGATTGTGCAGTGATGCAACAATATGGGAAAACCGCCGAACAAAAACAGCTGTGATAAACAGCAAAGCCCAGAAACACAAAGGACGCCACCACGCCGTCGGATATGCGTTGCGTTCATCCCAGATACAGCATCGGGGCTAGTCTCAATATTGATACGTCCACCTAAGACGCGATGGCGCGGGCCGGGGCACCTCCGCCTCCTCGGCGGTTGTTCTTAACGTTCTTGGTGGGCTTGGTGACAGTGCTCCAGCCATCGTCGTCCATGACCTCGGTAGTAGTGCCTTCAGGGGCCGCAGTTGTGCTGGACTTCCGCCTCCATGAGCCTTGTTCAGCCTTCGGTGGGTCGCGAGTGACTTCTTGCGGCTTGACGTCCTTGTCGTGTACAATCTCTCCCTCGGCATCCTCATCCTGGCCGGCAGAGTTACCCTCGTCCACCCGTTGGAGGATCTCGAAGTTGGACTTGGGCTTCTCCTCGCTATCATTCTCCTCCTTCTTTGTCGGCGTTGGCTGTGCTGAGTCCTTGGGTGCTGGCTTCTCCGCGGCTTCCTTGGCCTTCTTCTCCTCGCGCGCCTTGTCATCGGCTTCCTTCTTCTGGCGCAAAGCAAGCTGCCTCTTCTCCTCGATCTCTTTCTCACGGGCAGCGGTGTCGATGGGTCGGGCAGCACCGAAGGGGTTGGGCTTGTCCGAAGGAGTGGACGCGTCTTGAGCTGGTTGAGCCTCAGAGACGGTTCGCTTGGCCAGGTTCAAGCGAGGGCGGCCGGCGGGTGCAGCGGCCTGCGGTGCCGGTGATGATGGCGTGCTAGCGTCGGGTGTGGATGTTGGCGACTTGATAGGCGCATCGGGGCGCATCTTGGACCGCCACTGGTTGTCATTGTCTGCCGCAGTAGGCTGCCTCTCAAATTGCGGTCGCTCCTGGAACTCACGGCGGGGTCCACGAGAGCCTTCAGTGCCTTGACCCTCGCCCCAGGCGGGGGACTGTCGGCGGCCCTCGCGGGGACCTCCTTCGAAGCCACCTCGGGTGCGGCCGCCCTCGCTGGGAGGAGGTGCAGCGGATGGAGAAAGAGGTCCTCGGCGCTCCCAGTTGCCAAAGTCGCGGGGCTTTCCGTCGCTCTCGAATGGAGGTGGGCGGCGACGCTCACCACGCTCGCTGCCGGCGTCAGATCCTGCGTCGAAAGCGCGGTCACGGCCCGAGCCGAAGCCGCCGCGTCCGGAGCTGCTGCGCTGGCCAGGTAGATCAGGGAGGGGTCCCTTTCGGGTCCAGTCTGTGATGACGCGGGCTTCTTCGCGGTCCTTGGCTGTGACTTGTAAGTAATTGTTTGAGTGCATCCTGTAGACACATGACGTACGGGGTTCAGCGACGCTGACACGGATATTCCTGCCCTGGAAAGATGTGCCAGACAGGTCAAGCGCCTTCTTCAGTCCATCAACGCTGCCAAATTCGACGTAGCCGAAACCCTTGGGCTTTCGGTCCAGTTTGTCCTCGACGATGCGCACGTTGGTCACCTCGCAGTCGGCGAAGAAGTCGGTCACGTCGCCCTCGGTGGCATCGAAGGAGAGGTTGCCCAGGTGGGCGGTGTACGGGGGCTTGGAGGGCATGGGGAGCGCCTCGCGAGTTGCGAATCCACGGTCGGCTGGGGAGTTGTTAGTATATGCGAATGCGTGTAAGTATGCTCTCCTCACCGTAGCTGCCAGCGCGGTCAGCACCGAAGCCGCTGCCGCCGCCAGAGCCAAAGGTAGGCCTGTCGCCGCCATAGCCAGAGCTTCTACCAGCACCTAAAAATGTGTCAGTCTTCCGTCATGTGCATGTTCGCGCTGCGACAGTTGGTGGGGTGTATTACCGGCTCCTGCAAACGTTAGTACACCGGGCCACTCCCTAAGCAGAATGCGTGTCACTCACCAGGCATTGGCGCGTCCTCCATTTCGTCGGCCCATGATCCTAGCGCTGCTGCATGTCAGTCGTCTGCGCGCTCGGGGGCAGGTAGGCGGGGCGTACATTGGTCATTTAGGAATTCTCCCAGGCCCATGGTCTGTTGCTTCTTCTTGGGCGCTACAACACATCGTCAGCCATGGCTTCTTGTTTTGGGCGCGGTACAGAGCGGGGCAAAAAAGCCGGCTCGAGTGACGCCTGCAATTTGCGTGCGCACCACGGCGACGTACCCATGATTGCGGTTTGGCAGACTGTGCGCGAGTGGATTCGGCGCGCTGTCTGATTCGGGTCTGGAGAGCGGTCTCTTGCTCTCGGGTGTGGTCTTGGTGGTTGCGGGGTCTGTGGTTGAAGCGTGTGTGGGGTGAGTTCTTGAGACTTTCCCGAACGGAAATCTTAAGCTCAGGCTGTGCGTTCGTTGGGCCTCGCTTAGTCAGCGCCTTTGCTTTTCCAACGGCGGCGAACCTTGCATTGTCATTACCCGAATCTGGTCCACGACCTTCAGCCCGGATCGCCCCCATGAAAGAGCGATGAAAGCCAAACATGACCCAGACCAGGTCACGCAGCCCCTCGAGGTTGCCCGGCAAGCACTCTATATTGGCGGAGCCTCAGGTATGCACATGGTCTTTTCACCACCCTACGTAGTCTCGCTTCATTGTAGTCGTGCGCTTCCATTTCACTTCTGCATTATCGTCGTCTAGTCAGCTTTTTCTCACCTCACGAATTTTGCCTAACCTGGTTCAGCCGTCCCCGGCACTGTGATTGGTGCCTTCTACGGTACTATCCGCACGCAAACTCCGGTTCTCTTCTCCATCGTTTCAGGAGCGCAATGGTTCGCCATTGGCAGCACGTTCTGGGGCATCCGCACGTCAGTCCTCAACCACGCTGGCTTACTCAATTGGTGGAACCTCACTCGCGGGGCACCCGTCTATCCTCGCACCGACCTTAACCCAACCACGTCTGACAAGGTTCGCGCGTCAGCCCTTGCTGGTGGACTGACTGGATTCAATCTCGGCCTCCTCTTTCGCGGCCCTCGGAATGTCATCCCTGGTACCATCATGTTCACTCTCTTCGGTTGGGCAGGACAACATGGATACAATTACCTCGACGCCAAAAACTCCAGCGAAATCCAGGAACGAGCGAGAGGCGAAGCCAAGCCCAAGGAGAACTTTATGCAAAAGATTGCAAAGAGCAAGTGGAGTCCTATGCAAGTCTTGACCGACGACGACTACGAGAATATGATGCAGGAAAAGCTTCTCCGGGTCGAGGCCCAGATCGCGGTAATTGACGACAAGATTGATGCATTGAAGAAGCAAGCGTTTGAGTTGGAGACGCAGCGAAAGATGAAGGAAATTCAGCAGCAGCAACAAACCACCAAATGAGAGGATGGCCTTTTAGCCATGCATGCCGTAGACTTGAGACCTGGAATGGGTTATGTAAGATATGTTTCATTTCTCTTTCTTGGTGAATTCCTAGTATATTTCTTTCACATTGCGCAACTGGTGATCTTGATCGTTGTTATCATCACTTCACCGAATACTTGTCTCACTCATCGTTCCGCTTCTTCTCTTGACCCTCACTATCATCATACATGTGCGCTTGGTCATCTAATTCTGCTCCTTCATTATGCGAACTCATCGTCTTCAAGTTGTGGCTCGAGTATGGAAGTACATCACAGCTCGGAGTCGCACCACAAGTGAGTTCATACACGTCAAAGGCCTCGTAACTAACGCTTAGTACCTCCGCAGTAGCTACGCATTACCACTACCTTTTAAAACCACGACGTAGCCTCCACCCTTTGCTCGAGACTCCGCAGTAGTGATAGACCTTGGCTCTAGAAAACGGCCATCGAGCACTGCGAGCGTCTCCCCCAAGCTCGTCATCACTTTCACCACCATCACTCTCGCTTCCCGCCGGCGCCCCGACCCTCCGCCATCGCACAACAAACACCCAAAATGCAAACGCACACGCCCGCGCACGCAGCGCTCTCACCAGACACCCACGCGCTCGCCTGCAAACCCGCCTTCACCTCATATTTGGTCCCACCCACACTCCACACCATCTCCCCCAATATACAGCACTTAAATCCCCAATCTTCCATCAACAAGCCGCCTTGGCTGAAGTTCGAGAGGAACGACCAAAGACAGGAGCCCGCAACCACAATATTAACGGCTTCCGAATGGTTAATCGGTCCAGACCCAACTCACCCAAGGTGCCTTGTTCGATTCCCTAGTCTGCCTTTAGGAACATGTGGACCCTTGAAGGATACAACAGACAATAATGTCCAGAAACGAAAAATCAGCAATGGTTAGACGTCGTCTTCTATCTTCGGATAGAAGATGTTTTTTTGCTCTTTTTTGCAACATGGTTTTTACTATGTTCTAGTTTTTACTTTGCGTGTATATGTTACTTACAGGCAGGGTATCTAGTATTCTCTCTACATATTTGCACTGCGCAAAAGCTAGAGAAAAGACAAGAAGTGTAAGATAGCTAAGAAGGACTTGCTTTATAGCGACAGCGATATGTAAGAGACTTGAGATTAACACAGAGGAGCTTTACTTTTAGATAAACTCTTTGCGGAATGTGCACACGGCGAACGCTACATACTCTACTGCTTAACGTCAATCGGCTTACCGCCCTGCTCTCCACTCTTCAAACAACTCTCCAAGATCTCCAGATCCTTCAACGCCTCCTCAGGACTCTGCATCTCGTTCCTCTTTCCTTGCTCCAGACTCTTCGCCCAAGCCTTGATCTCCTGCTTCACGCCGTTGCCCTCATCCGGGAATTCCTTCGTCTCTGGGTCTTTGCCATCCCTGGTGATGGTGACCTTGCCACGAGCGACATGTACCGAGCCCTTCTCGCAAGCAACCAGGTACTCAGAGCCAGTGTCGGTGGTGCCAAAGCAAATGGACAGAGTACCAGAAGCATCGTTGTCCAGCTGCATAGTGGCGTTGAGTGTGTCGACAGGTGGAAGGTGCTCCTGAAGCTGCGCGGTGAATGCGCTGACCTTCTTGATCTTTCGGCCGCCACCTTGTAGCAGAAGACGCGTCGCCGCTACGAAGTGCACGCCGCCGTCAAGCACGAAGCCGCCCTGGTGATCAGGCTTCTTGCGCCATTCTGTCTCGTAGTACTTACTGCCTGCCGATACCATTGCGGCAACACGTACGCGGAAGGTAAGAATGCGGCCCAGGGAAGCGACCTGCTCAGAACCCCAGACGTAGGAGTCGATGAAGCGGAAGTTTTCGGCTACAGTGTAGACTGCAGAGGTGTTGGAGGAGTCTTGTGTCCATGAGAGTAGTTCGCGTGCGGTCGCTAGATCCTTCGCGATGGGCTTCTCCGCAAAGACATGTTTGCCTGCTGCGAGCGCTTTCTTGATGTAGTCAGGTTGGGCGAGGATCGGTAGTCTGAGTTGCGACACGTTAGCAACTCATGTTCTGTACTCTAGCCAGTATACGTACGCAATGACTACGCCTTTTACATCGTCCCTCTTCAGTAGGTCTTCAAACTTCTTGCCATCTTGATCGTCGCTGTAAAGTTCGACGTCGGACAGCTTCTCGGATAGAGCTTTTGCCGATTTGAGTGATCGCGAGTAAACTGCTTTTAGGCTCAATGACGGGGTGTCCTGAATGGCGGGCAAGTGTTCTTCTTTGGCGAAGATGCCGCTTCCGATGATAGCTATGCCGATAGACATCTTGATGGATATTCCGCAAGTCGATGGCACAGAAGTTCCTGGAAGATCTTGGACAGCTCACTCTCCTGGAGATATGTAGTCCCAATAACGGCTGTACTGCGGCTAAATGGCAATTGTAGCGGAGGAAATAGTAATCTCTTCCAATAGTAATCGTTTCCAATAGCATCTACGCCATGACCCGTCGCGGGGTACATGTCGCTGCCCCACGATGGCGATGACGTCGGGCACCATACCGTAAATGGTCAAGGGCGATCAGCTCCACGGGTTGCCGACTTTGTCGCAGTCGGCCTTCCATCAACATCGACATCGTACAACGCCCATCGCACATCTGTTAAGCTCCCTGTATTGCATGATCGACGCGACTTTCATGCATACCATGTCGCGCATTGGACACGCGATCATCACGCGTCTTGTCTTCGGCAGTTGGAGCGAAACGTGAAGAGTGCTCTACATCCACGCATGAATGCGTATGCTATGCTGATAACAGTCACAGAGTGCAGCCTGGATTACTGAGAGTCGTCGCAGTGCTTACAGAGGATTTGCGCATTTGCACCCAACGCGCAACACGCCAACGATTGTATCATCTAATCCAGGGTCAGGCACCACACGCGCCATCGGATCTACCTGTCTACCTCCACCTCCCGATAACATAAAACGGTCCCAACAAGACAGCACTGTGGCGCACCATGTCATCATATCACCGTGTGGATATGCTTGTGATAGTGTCTTGGTAGATGTCAATGTCTTCAAAGCAACAGGATATGGCTGACACGTGTCCACAACCAACTACCAACGGTTGCATCGATGGATGTGCTGCCAGTCAGGCATGATTTCCGTGTGTATTCGGGCACTGGGGTTTTCCATGACCGCGGATTTTGCTTTCGATTGGGCTTGTATATCTCTGGGAAGTTCCGACATACTGAAACACGTCGCGTTGGACGTCGCGTTCGGCTAGCCCTGGTCAGGCTTCGGCAGTCAAGCCCATGCAAGGCGTCGATCGACGAGCATGGTTGGTATATCGCTTTGTCTCAAACGCTTCAGCGTAGTTTCGTTAGTATCAGGCTACCCTTGATGCCTCGAGCCCTATCGTAATGCGGTCATAAGAGAGGTTGGCCCAAGGCACTCATCGTTCAGAGCTGGCCTCGCTGTCCTACTGCTGCTGCTTCATTCATTATACATTTTAATTACTCTTTCCCAACGCAGCGCGTTCGAAAAGACTGCCGGCAGTCAACTACCTTCCTTCCGTTCTCGTTACCATTCTTTCTCTTCCACGTTAGCAGACTCAGGTACCACCAAGATGGGTTTCGGAATTCTAGAAGACCGCCATATGGCAGCTCCTCCGGGAACATCTACCATCAACGACTCTGAACCTTCCCGTAGGATTCATCCCTCGGAACAGTAACACGGTGTCACTAATCCCTGTTTAGTAGACTCAAAGGTTGACTTCAGCGACGTCAAGCGCGATGGCGATGTCATCCTGCAACCACAGCCTTCGGATAGTCCCAACGATCCGCTCAACTGGTGAGAGACTATGAAATTGATGTCACGATACATTGTCTCACGCGCGACAGGTCACCGAAAAGGAAGGAATGCATCATGATCCTGCTCGCTTTCAGTTCCGGTGTAACAACAGCGTAAGCATTGAAGACACTCCATCGTTTCCACAAGCTGAGTCTTCGCCAGTCTTGGACCCATGGTGACACCCGCACTTCCACTCATCGCCACGAAGTACAATGTCAGCATCGATATGGTTTCCAGTCTGATCATTGGCTTTCTCGCCTTTTGGATCGGTTTCACCACGTTCTTCACGGCTGCTGGAGCGAACATCTGGGGCAAGCGACCCTTCTTCATCATTTCTACCGTCATCCTTCTTGCAACGAACGTGTGGGGATTCTTCACCAGGGTATGTATCGAAAGATGAGCTAACAGGTTCTTCGTTGACATAAAGCAGTCTTTCGTCTCTCTCGCTGTCATGCGAGTCGTGCAGGGTATTGCATCAGCACCTCTCGAGACACTCGTCACCTCCACGGTGTCCGACATGTACTTTGTCCACCAAAGAGGTACTAGAATCGCAGTCTGGGGTTGCATGTTAGCCTCTGGTGTGCTTCTTGGGTAAGTTCCTTTCCACCCAGTTCATCGCATGTGCGTACTGACCCAGTCTTAGCCAAACAATCGCCGGTGCTATCATCCAGAACGTTTCTTTTGAGGCTACTTTCGGTATCTCCGCTCTGATCTTCATTCCGATTCTCCTTGGCATGTACTTTTTCGTCGTCGAGACCACCTACTATGGCGCCCGTCCTACGACGGACAAGCTTGCCGTCAATGAGAAGCACAAGTCGGTTTCCTCCGTTTTCGAGCTCGAAGAAGAGAGAGAATCATATCACAGCCAGCTAGCGCTCTTCCGTGGCCGCTTGTCGCAAGAATCATTTTGGAAGAACGCTTGGAAGCCTGTGCCACTCATAGCGTTCCCGGCAGTGCTGTTCAGCACTATCGTGTACGGGTCTTACTTTGTGAGTAACTTCCATCAGCTTTCTGCGAGACATGCGCTGACTTTCATCTTCTCTTCCAGACTTGGCTGCTCACCATCTCCGTCCTCTCCGTCAACATCTTCTCCGCGCCACCGTACTCGCTGAACCCAGCACAAGTCGGTCTTACCAACCTACCTCTCCTCGTTGTCGCACTTATCGGCTCGCCCCTGTCCGGCTGGACAGCCGATGCTCTCGCGAAGTTCATGGCCCGTCGCAACAAGGGTGTCTTCGAGCCTGAATTCCGCCTGACTCTGATGGTACCAGCCGTCATCTTTGCTACGATTGGCTTCCTCGGCTTCGGCATGAGTACTTCAGCTGGCTACCCTATTGTTTGGCCCTTGGTATTCATGTCTATTCACTCGCTCTCCGTACCTTTCGCATCAACAGCCAGTCTGACCTACGTCATTGACTGTCACCCCAAAGATGCAAACCAGGCTTTCGTCACCATCAACTTCACAAAGGCGGTGTTCACCTTCATCGCGACAACCTACGCGAACGGCATCATGGCCAACATCGGACCACGCGCGGTGTTCGACGGCATCACGGTCATCAACCTGGGAATCTGTGCGCTTACCATTCCGGCGTATGTGTTTGGCAAGAGGTTCAGAAGTTTGGTGGCGCGGAGCTCATTTGGAAAGAAGATCTCTGGCTGAGAGCTCGGGCCGTGCGTCTTCTACTGTGACGACAAGGCATAAGTTCAAAGGGATGGCGATGACATATGTAGTTTCATGAATACACACAGTCGTTATAGATCTGAATTATCAAAAATGCACCGTTTTCATGATGACACAGCAAGCTTGGTGCCACGTGAGCGAGCTGGTTCGCATTGGCTTGATCGCAGGAGCAGGCTCAGATTGTAGGAGTTGACACCATGACTTTGAGCCCGTGCTCAATTCCGTAATGTACAGAAGGGAACATGTCGACTATAAACTGAGAGAAGGCATGATACAGTAAGTAAACTTTTGTATTTGAAGCGAATTCTTTGGTATCATGAATCTATATATAATGCAACCACACCCAAATGCCGTTGACAACTTCCGTAGTGCCCTATGCCAAACATTCCACGATCTCTTCGTGAGTAAGCACATGCGTCCCGCGCTTGGTGCAAGTTCTTGCATGATAATTTTAGTCTTGCGATACATCCAAGCGGTTCTCTGCGCTCTGCATCGTCACTCCTGACGGCGCGATATGGTGGCGCAGGTCTTCGCGTCTCGGCGTTCATGTCGCATCAAGGCCTTTCCACTAGACAAGAGCAAGCGACCTGCTGTTGACTGTGACGTCCTTGGAGTCGTATGTGGGGCGAGCGTTATTCGCTGATATTGAATGGTAGCTCGATGCTTCAGTTCGTCACTCGTCTCGCACCGCCATCCATCTCTCTAGCCCCTGGTCTTTGCGACAACATCTGTGCCATGGACTGCGACGCATTTGAGGCTGACGAAGTTGCGTATCTGGGGCTTAGTGGTGATGTCAGACTGGCTCGTCGTGATGTCGAGATGTTGATGGATGATGGAGATGATGAGGTTGCGTTCTTGAGGAAGACGCGCGCGGGTGGGAATTGGCTGACTGGCGGCATTGTGATTGTGTGTGCGAGCTGTATTGTTGGTCTGATGTGGTATGCTCGAGGATGAAACGTGGTGATCGTTCGGTAGTAATAAGAGCAGGGCTTGTTGTTTGATGTCGTCGATACGATGGCACGATGTGTAGTAACCGGATGTTGGATGTCTCTTCTCAGCTGATGAAATGTCTGTTATAAGCAAAAGCGTAGCAAGAGCAGCAACCACTCATCTTATATCCATCGACGAATCCAAATTGACTCACCCAACTAGACCCACACTAACTCTCTACCCTCGGAGTCACAAGCAACTCGCCCATCCACGCAAGCCTCTAGCGCGCGTGCCCCCCAAACCCGCCCGCGCCGTGACATGTGAAGCCCTTCCCGTTTCGAGCCATGATCACCCCACGGCATCGTGAGCATCACGTCTTGCACATGCGGATCCGGACCCAATCGGCGGATAGTTCTCGTTCCAAAGGAGACGACTACGATCAACGCAGACTAAACGACATGCACGCGATCGTGGGTTGCGTCCAGCTCATCTAGCTCCCGTTACCCCGGGTGGGTTTTCCGTGTGCGACTACGGTGCTTTGAGCCATTTGTCTTTTCCCCCAGTTTGCGCGAGCCGACCCTCCACTCCACCCCCAAACGCCCGGAAAAGCAAAAAAGGGCCGAGAGGCGCATCGCATTGCGCATTGTACTTCCAGCTTACACACCTACACAATTCAAGAAGCAGCCAAGGTGCCGAGGCGTGTGATGGTAGTTGGTGCGTGTTTGAACTTTGTATGGTGCTCGTGTGTGTGCTTGTTTGGAGATGGGAGGCTGCGACACGTCATGCACGGAGCCTAAAGTGCGGGGTGGGCCTCCGCGAACACTGGCTAGGGCGAAGCAACGGCGTCTGGTTTGACGGCCACAGAGCTTCTAGCAAGCTTCCACCGAATGTTTGGACAAGTTTTAGCCTGAGATGAAAGATACGACGCGAGGTAGATCACCGACGTCGGAGGATCTCTCGTGAGTCTGGATACGAGAGATGTTGTTTTGAGCGGAGTAAGTTTAGATGGCATGTACGACACTGGCATGGAGATCGCGATGCGGGGCAGCTGGTGGATCACAGGTAACCTCAGCGAACGGTGTAATACATGCTCTGCCCTACAACGTTCCTTTTGCGGCTTGCACTAGCGCGAAGATATATGCGCAGTACTCATGTTTACTGCGGGTGTAACTGCAAAGCAATGCATGTGAGAAGCCAGACTCCGCGGGTATTGAGAAATCAGCCCGACATGTGAGCCCAGTCTCGTCATTGTTGCGGTGTAACGGTGTTCCAAGGCTGCATCCACGACAGCACGTTCAGGCAGATGTCTGGCAAGTCGTAGTCAGAGCAATGACATTACTTTTTCTATCGTACAAGGTCGGCCAACTTTTAGACGTCGCGATATAGTACATCCAAGTCATTATCCAAGCCTTCTGCATCCGCAGCATTAACGTATCTTGCAGCGCACAACTGCGCCCAGGTATCCGAACATGCAAGCATATCCACACGGCACGCATGCTGACATGCCGTTCGTATTATCCAATTGTCCCAAAGAAATCAAAGTCAAGTTCAGGGGATCTAAGCTCGGCCGCTGCGGACGCGCTTGGCTTCGGGACGCTGAAGGTGCGAGGCTGGGATCCAGCTCTCATCGTAGGCCTTTGCGCCGGAAGTGACAGCAGGACCATCAGCACCAACGACGGCAACCTGATCGGCGGGGTCGACCTTCTTGCTCTGGCCAGAAGACGCCTTAGCACGCTCGCCACCCTTACCGCGGCCCTTCTTCTGCGGGAAGAAGGTGGAGATCCAGGTGTTGTAGATGAAGTACACGGTTCCACCGAACGCGCCAAGGAGGACGAGATACAGGAAGATGCTAGAGAGAAGTAAGTACATGTGTCCAGGCTGAGTGGTTGATTGCTACGTACATCTGGGGGTCGAAGAAGCTAGTGGGCGCCTCAACAATGCTGACAGTCTCGTTATAGACCGGGACGGTGATGAGGTTGTTCTTGCTGTCCTTCAGCACAGTCACGAGCTGGAGTCGGAGATTCTGGGGGTGCATTTCTGTCGTGAAGCTGTAGGGAATCGTCTCGTTGGCGCCAGCAGGAATCTGGATGGAGTAGCGCTGGCGAGTGAGGTTGCGAAGGACCTGAGATTCTCCCTTGATCTCCTGGATCAATGAGCCACCGACAATGGTGACGCCGACGGGGGTTGGCTCATTGTTGACCACAGACAGACGCGCCTGGGTGGCCTGGCCGTTGACGAGCTTGACGCCGAAGATCTCAGACTGGGGGAAAGAGACGGAAACGGCGACGTTGAGGTTGGGCGTTTGCGGCTCGTCTACTGCTTGTTGCACCTTCTCAGCCTGGAGACGCGACCGTTAGCCATCTGATGTCATGCTGCGTCAGAAAGTTTGGAGCTTACCGCGGGCTCAGCATAGGTGCCGAGAGCTCGGAGAGAGAGCAGGAGCAGAGATGAAAACTTCCAATTGACCATGATGAAGACGACACGAGACGGGGAGAGGGATGAGAGGAGGAGGGACGGCGTGTGGGAACAGATGGGGTAATTCGAACGTGGCTTCTGGGAAGTGACGTCCGGGCGCAGCTGCCTCTTGGCGTCGGAGGACGGAACTAGAGCCGCGGCAATGCGACTCCGTCTCTCCACCTCCTCCCCTACAACGAAGATGGTGAACAGGTGCACTGCAGCCTACATCATTATGAACACGAAATGTCGCAAAACCTGAGCGCAATGTAGACTCCTAGGTCATTTTATTTCTATCATCCTTGCGTCAAGATGAGCTATCGCTTGACACTCTCTGTGGCTGGCCCCTTCCGAGTATAGACTGTTCCCTGGTACGCGCCATATCGCGTTGTACATGGCATCCACGCCGCAAATGTCGCTCCTTCTATTTCAAGGCCAGCGGCACCCATGATTCTGCAGTTTGCTATAATTGCATATACACCGCCTTGGAGTGGCTGCCCGCCGGCATTGCGCATGGCTGCATACCGTTAAAAGCCAGACTGGCCGTCTTCACTGCCCAGTGATATTTAATGTCACCGCAATAACTCACCTTCACTCGCGGTTTCCTATTCGGGCTTGAAAAATCTCTACTAACCGCAGAACGAGCGCTCGACCCTCCTGCACCTGCTTTCTCTCCACCTTCTCTCATACACGTAAATCACAGCCATTCGATATTCTATCATTCAATCACATACCTGTTCGCCGATCGCCTGCGCCCTTTGCGATATGTCACCTTCGCTCAGCGGCCTTGGCCTGGCTTCACCGGGCCCCTCCGACGCCGATTTAGCAGACTTTACCAGACGCTTCGAGCAATTCCAGCTGTACGAGGATGAAAAGGCGAAGTTCATGACCGTAAGTGCACTGGAACTGTCACTATCACTCAGTCGTGACTGACGCGCAATAGGAAATGAAAAATCGGTATGAATATATGCACCAACAGTACCAGATATTGGCCACCGAACGCGACCGCGATCGCAACTGGATCCTCGCATGGCAAAATGAGAAGCAGCAGTATGAGAGGTCGCACCGGAATCTGCAGCGGAATATGGTAATTCCGTCCAGCCACACATCGCTTTGGAGCTGACTTGGATGTGACAGGCTGAGAATCCATTTGTTATGGTACTGATTGACGGCGACGGCATGATTGTGAGCTTCACGTACTGCGAGTTGAATGCAGTCTGCTGACTACATACAAGTTTAGTGACGACTTCCTCCGCGAGGGAGAGCAAGGTGGCCGCCGGGCTGCTGTCCAATTGTTCGCCGATATCCACGAGTATATCGAGAATGAGTGCCAAGATATCCCATTCGGTTACCGCATCGCCTGCCGCATCTATGCGAACGTTCGGGGGCTGGGCGACGTGCTCGTACGCAGGGGGATTTATGAAGACATCATCGAGTTTGAGGACTTCGTGCGTGGATTCACGCGGGGAAAGACATTGTTCGACTTTATCGACGTCGGTGCGGGAAAAGATCGCGCTGACGAGAAGATCATCGGTGAGTACCACTGTCTCCTACATCTCCAGCCCCATGTATTCCACAAAACCCACTATCCTAAGCTATTTCCGAGTTTAGACGTACATGTAGGCTTCTGACCGTACTGACAATCTTAGAATTATTCAAATTATACTCCCAAGATTATCATTGCCGTCGGATCTTCTTCGGGTGCTCACACGATAATGGCTACGCGCGAACGCTTGAGCAGTGCTCCGATCGCCTTCAGGTGACAAACAAGGTGGTTCTCCTTGAGGGTGTTCCATTTGAGAAGGTACGTAGCATGTATAGCACATGACTGACTCGCGGAGCCATGAATCCACGAACACTCGTACAGCCCGGACGCTAACGTCACCTCTCTGTAGGAACTCGTCGGCCTGCCGTACCAAACGAAGAAGTTTCCAGGTCTCTTCAGGGAGACCAAGCTCGTGGTTTGGGGATCTGGACCTACATACGCCGCCAGTACATATGCCAACGGCCTTCCACCAGCATTTGTTCCGGGCAGGATCGACTCGAACGATAGTTCTAAGGCGTCTGTAGCTTCGACAGGTCTCCCAAGCCGGTTCCCAGCCCCATCAAAGTCCCCGATCATGGATAGTCCTTTGCCAAACCGAGCGGCAATGATGACTTTGCCTAGAACGCCTTCCACATCAACACTGGCTTCGGACAGTACGTTCCCAGCACTCAAGCCAGATCCACCAGCGCCGTTGCTGAACTGGGCCGCCAAGGCCGCTGCTCCGCCGCCGCCCGTCACAGAGACCCCCGTGTACAAGCCCGCGAACCGCGAAGAAGTCATCGCACGTAACCGTGCCGGCCAACGCGTCGATCCGCCGTGTAAGGACTACGATAAGGCTGAGGTGGACCGCATGAAGAAGATCAAATTGTGCAACGTTCATTTCCTTCGAGCCGAATGCCCCTACGACACCAAATGCACCCATCTCCATGCGTACAAACCCACCAACGACGAGTTGGCTACCCTCCGTCTTGTCGCCCGCATGGCACCTTGCAGCAACGGCAGTGTTTGCCAGGATATTAGGTGTATCTATGGCCACCGCTGCCCAGCACCGCCCAACAAGATTCACTACGCCAAGGGCACGAAGAGCTGTATTTTCGGCGAGTCTTGCAAGTTCCCAGCGAGCTTGCATGATATCGACACCAACGTGGTCAAAACCCTGGTTGTTCGCTAGATGGGGGAGTACGGAGGTTTGTGTGACGAAGTCGCCAGGTGGAAGAAGGCTCGATAGAATCTCAGACATTAGCAAGTTTTAATGTACCCTGAATCAAGTGGCCACTCATGAGCACCCCGCAGTCTACATTGGTGTCAACAACGAAGCTTCGCAAACTTGTGATGTAATGTAGGCTTCAGGGTCAAAATATCTTCAATTCGGGCATGGTGTTCAAGGCCAAAAGTCCATATTCATTCCCTTTTCCACTCGTCAAACTCTTCATTGAGGTGTTGTTTCAATGCCGCAAACTTATTCTTAAAGTTCTTCCCACATCGCCAACACTTCATGTCCCAGCTAGGCCAATCTCCGGGAGAAAACCTCTTACTATCTTCTTCCAGAGGAAACTCGTCTAATTGAACCAGGAAACTACTGTTGAAGCTCAAATAGTGTTTCTTGTGCTTCATCCAGTCTGAATGCATGTCGCGACTGAAGATATGTACGTGTAGATGGTTCATCGAGGGATGTGTATGTACGCCTACTACGATATCTTTAGACCAGTCGCGGCCGGGTGGAAGGAGGGCTGCGCGCTCCTCCGGTGGAGGTGGTGGGTCGGGAGAGCTCATCATTGCCTCGAAAGCCTCATTGTATGGTTTATCTGAAGCGCTGAAGTCGCCATATTGACGTCGGAGTTCGTATGCGGCGAGTTCTTTGAGACGAACGACGCGTTCTCGTACTTCGGCGAGGAAGGCTGGGTCTGTGGAGAGAGCTTGGAGTGGGTGTTGATCGTAGTAGATCTGTTTCCGCGGGATGAGTAGAAGATGTACACTTGTTGGTCGTCAGCGCGCTAGTTCTGCTCAGTTGTCCAATACCATGGGCACATACCTCGCCTTGGGGTACTTGTCGGTTATCACGACAAAGTCATCGTCATACTCCAGTATCTTGTTCTCCGGGTTCGTCTCCGGGCTCTCGATATAGACGCCCAGCCCATTCCGTCCGTCCCATCGCTTAGCTATCTTGGCAGATTTCTGTGTCGTACTTGGGCCGTCTGCGGCGGAAACGATGGGTGATTTTGGTTTCTTCGACTGCGTCATGAGTTCTGTGACTGCACCGTGAGTTAAGGTTGCGCGTTGAGATTGTTGAAGGCATGCGATGAGACGTACATGCATTGGGGCGCTTCGAAGAGGCAGGGTCAATTGCGGGCTGAGCTTGATTTGCCGTCTCCCTGCCTGCTATCTCTTTGTCCGTAATGGCATCGTGGGTATCCGTCATGTTTGGGCGGCCCGTCATTGTCGATTTGTTGTCGCGTTTGGGTTTGCGAAAAGATCTCGTATGCTTGTTCGAGGTTTGTATGATAGGGGCGCGAAATAATCGGGTTGCAATACAGCTTGGGGCCAGTGGGCGCATCGATGCTCGTGAATGCTTCGTGAGGGTTTCGTGAAGCAACGATGACGATGAGGCTCGGAGTGGGTCCAAGCGTACCGAGGCATCCCTGCAATCATCGGAATTTCGGATTGCGCATCGCGTTCGAGTGAAAGCGCCAGGAACTCGCGATGGCTGCCATCATAGGTGCTTTTTTCCTCTTTGGACTCGCTGAAGGGTGGTGCAATATCGATCCCGGTGGTTGAGCCCTTTCATTAGCGACTGCGCCCTTCTCACCGCCCACGAACAAATCACATTATCATACATCCACTCTTTCTTCCTGAGTATACTTCTATGGAGTCTAGGACGTACAACTACACTGAACATAACGCGCACGATGCCCAAGAACGCTCACCCTCCCCGCGGCAAGCCCGCCAAGAAGACTGTCCCTCCTGAGGAAGACACATCGTTCATTGTTTTCGGTGACGGCAAACCCAAGAAGAAGAAGGGAGAGAGTTCTGGCGGAGACGCTGCCCAGAGCGAGAGTAAGGGCAAAGGGAAGTCCGCAGCTGGAGCTGCTGAGGATGGTCCCAAGAAGCCGGATACAAGGACGCTCATTGCCGGCGCATCGTGGACAGGAAAGCTCCCGGTCAACCTCCTGTCGGAACACTTCCAGAAACAGCAGTGGAGCAAGCCTGACTATCGCATCGTAAGTAGTTGCGCCGTAGTAATAGGCCATTGCTAATTACAGCAGCGGAAAGATGGCGACCAGCATTTTGCCTACGCTGTGGTGCTCTCCAAGATGAACCAGAAGACACGACAGACTACCACCCTACCTCCCATCAAGATCCCGTCGGAGCTCGAAGAACAAGCCCATCAGGCTACTGCCGTCGAAGCGCGCAACTTTGCCGCCGCCTATACCCTCTTCCGAGTCGCCAGCGGGAAGAACCTCCACACCATGCTTCCGCCCACGTATAAAGACCTTTGGAAGGGACAATTCATGGACCTCAAGAAGAGGGATGAGCAAGAGGGCAAAGGCTGGATGTATGAGGCAGACCCCTTCTTTGGTTTTGCGGAAAGGGAGAAGGCGAGAGAGGCAGCAGCAAAGGCGCGCGAGAAGAGGCAAAAGCAGCAGGAAGAGGCGCAGAAAGCCCACAACCAACAGCCAGGTGCCGCCATGCCAAGTTCTAATGGTCCAGCTCCTAGCCGAAACCTGCTCAAGGGGTGGGAGAGAGTGCCCAAGATCGAGCTCGGGAAGAGGACACGCAAAGAAGCCGAGCGTCTCATCCGCCGGGACGCACTCTGGAACCCGAACGGCATCGAAATGCATCCGTCTACAAAGAACCGACTAGTCGAGGAGATCGCGAACCTTGGCTTTCGGAGAAGTCACGTCGAGGAGGCCGCCGATATTTGCAAAGATCGCGAGGAGATTATTGAATGGCTTCTCATTCATGTACCTGAGGACGACCTACCATCGTGGTCACTACCAGAAGGCTACGTTGCTGGCGTCAGTATGGCTAGCTCTAACCTCAAGCGTGAGGGTGCCGTGAAGCGCCTTGCTGCAGCCGGATACTCTATGGACCTTTGCGAAGAAGCATACGATAGTCAAGGCAGTGATGAAAGAAGGGCCGCAGCTTTGCTACAAGCTCGTCTACTCCGACCAGATGAGGAAGAGAGTAGCCTAGTACAAGATCTGAACGACCTCTCGCTGAGCAGTGGTGAGCCTGAGATGTCCCCGGAGGACGATCCGTGGGAGGTGGAGATGTCATCACTGGAGGCAATATACGACGGTCTGTTTTCGCGCCCTGCGCCCGAATCTTGTCGCATCGAGTTAGACGTTAAGCAACAAGGAAAGCGGCTCATACTACAGGTTAGGAAGCCTTTTGGTCCTTACCCCGCGGTCGTGCCTATCATCACGTTCGAGGCGGCCATCCCAGCATACATTCGTTTGAGCATCATTCGCCGAGCGCTTCTCCACGCTGAAGCCAACTTCATTGGCATGCCTATGGTATACGATATCGTAGACTGGATCCAAACGAACGCCGGTGATATCTTCCAGAACCCAGGAAGATTGACCGATGTTTCCTCTGGCCTTGCAGCAGCAGATCACTCGTCGGAACAGCAAACTCAAAAACGAAGAGCAAAGGGACGACCCAGAAGGCCTATCGACTGGACACCCGCCACGCCTACTAGCCAAAGGATGTTGTCTGATTGGCAAGCTAAGCAAAAATCTCCAGCTCAGCAAAAGATGATGAACGCTCGGCAGTCACTACCTGCGTGGAGGTTGAGGGATGAGATTGTCCGCACCGTCAACGACTGTAAGGTCACCATCATCTCAGGTGAGACTGGATCGGGAAAATCGACTCAATCGGTGCAGTTCGTCCTCGATGATCTCATACAGCGACAGCTTGGTGCTGTTGCGAACATCATCTGTACCCAGCCACGCAGGATCTCCGCGCTTGGTCTTGCTGATCGTGTGGCCGATGAGCGATGCTCTCAGGTCGGCGACGAGATTGGGTATACTATCCGTGGAGAATCCAAACAGAAGCCAGGAGTTACTAAAATCACGTTTGTAACGACTGGTGTGCTTTTGAGACGACTTCAAACGTCAGGTGGTAACGCCGACGACGTTGTTGCTGCCTTAGCCGATGTCAGCCACGTTGTCGTCGACGAGGTCCACGAGCGCAGTTTGGACACAGACTTTTTGCTCGTTCTTTTGCGCCAGATCTTACGAAAGCGACAAGATCTCAAGGTCATCTTAATGAGTGCCACTCTCGATGCTGCTGTTTTCGAAGCGTACTTCAAAGAGGTTGGACCTGTAGGCCGTGTCGAGATTGAGGGCCGCACTCATCCTGTGACGGACTACTATGTCGACGACGTCGTACATTTCACCGGGTTCAAGGGATATGGTATGGGCGACGAAGACGCTTCCGAGGACAAATCGTTCTCAGCAAATCTCCGGAGTATCGGATTCGGCATCAACTACGACCTCATTGCAGAGACTGTTCGTCACATTGACCGCCAGCTCGGTACAAAGGATGGAGGTATACTTATCTTCCTACCTGGTACTATGGAGATTGATCGCACGCTCCAAGCGCTCAGCCAGTTCGCAAATCTCCATGCATTGCCTCTACATGCATCACTCATGCCAGTCGAGCAAAAGCGCGTCTTCCCTCCTGCTCCCCACGGCAAGCGTAAGGTCATCGCGTGTACCAACGTCGCAGAAACGTCGATCACTATCGAGGATATCGTCGCCGTCATCGACACGGGTAGGGTCAAGGAGACAAGCTACGACCCGCAAAACAACATGGTTCGCCTTGCCGAAACCTGGGCTTCGAGGGCGGCATGTAAGCAACGACGAGGTCGAGCGGGGCGTGTCCGAGCAGGCGACTGCTACAAGTTGTACACACGCAACGCTGAAGCCAAGATGATGGAGCGACCGGATCCGGAGATTCGACGTGTGCCACTTGAGCAGATGTGTCTGTCCATCAAGGCAATGGGGGTGCAGGACGTTACAGGCTTCCTTGCTTCAGCGCTCACACCACCAGAGAGTACAGCGGTAGAGGGTGCTATCCAATTGCTCTCGCAGATGGGTGCCATCACAGACGACGAACTCACTGCACTTGGTCGACACATGTCTATGATCCCGGCAGATCTCCGACTGGGCAAGCTTCTAGTCTATGGCGCGACGTTTGGCTGCCTTGAAGCTGTGCTGACGATTGCGTCTGTTCTCACGGCTCGCAGCCCATTCATATCACCACGAGAGCGTGATCAGGAGACCCGAAATGAGTTCGATCGTCTTCGCGCTTCCTTCTCTAATAACCAGGGAGATCTGCTTGTAGACCTACGAGCATACGAACAGTGGTCTGCATTGCGCAGCAAAGGCACATCAACACGAGACCTCCGCTTCTGGTGTCAAGATAACCGACTGAACCCCCAAACCATGTTCGACATAGCGTCCAATCGCACCCAGTACCTGTCGTCTCTCAAGGAGATTTCTTTCATCCCGACACACTACTCCTCCGCCAATCCTTCCACACACTCGTATTACAACAAACACAACGCGAATGACGCGCTCTTACGCGCTTTGATCGCCGGATCTTTCAACCCACAGATCGCACGCATCCAGCTCCCCGACAAGAAGTTCGCAGCAGGCATAGCTGGAGCCGTAGAACTCGATCCTTCAGCCCGCGAAATCAAGTACTTCAACCAAGAAAACGGACGCGTCTTTGTTCACCCATCATCTACCCTCTTCGCCAGCCAGACCTTCCCCCACAACGCTTCATTCATTGCATACTTCAACAAGATGGCTACAAGTAAAGTCTTCATCAGAGATATCACGCCGTTCAATGCATACAGTCTGCTGTTGTTTGCTGGAGAGATCAAGGTCGACACGCTGGGCAGGGGCTTGGTGGTTGATGAGTGGATTAGGCTGAGGGGTTGGGCAAGGATTGGTGTGTTGGTCAGTCGGTTGAGGGGCATGCTGGATGGCGTGCTGGAGAGCATGGTGAAGGAACCAGGGATGGGGGTTAGTGATAGGCAAAGTGAGGTCATTGATGTCGTTAGACGGATGGTTGAGAGGGATGGATTAGACGCTTAGACGCCCGCGTTCTTACTAGATGGGATTGTTAGATCAGAGGGTACAGTTCGCCTTGAAATAACGTATAAATGAATTAACCAATTACTCCGGTACAGGTTTGGCTGCAAAATCGACTGTAGGGCTTGTTGGGTGCTCTTTCCTCTTACGCCCTGCAGTTGCCGATCAACAGAAGCAAGGGTTAGCGCGGGGTGAAGGTCACGGATGTCG